TTTGCTTCACATAGCGACAGACCAAGGCAGTCACCCATGGAAAGGCACGAGCACTGTTCCGCACGCCAGCACATCCACCGTGAATGAAAGCTCCTGAGAACCACTGCTGACTGACTTCACCCCAATCACGACGTCCCTTCATGTCTGGAGTTTCCAGCAACACGGCCAGCACTTCTGTGGCACTCAGCGGTTGTGCACACCGCTGACTGAGAAGCTCATAGGCCATCCGTTCACAGGACGGGCCTGGGCTGGAGTAAACCAAGACCTACGTCCTGACCACTACCTAGGGGGGAAGGAGCCGGCGGGAAAAAACAACCCGGGCCTAGGTCAGGACACTTAGGGTTTGGAACATCGGTCTGCCCCCTTGACGTCTGGATGTGAAGAACCTTGCTGCCTGCAGGGATGGAGCTGCATTCGCTGGCGGAAGCAAGCGAAGAGGCGGGCACACTCCAAGCGGAAGACAGGGTGCTTTTGGCGACGATTCCTTGTTTGCGCTTGAACTCGGGAACCAGCGGTAACACGCGTTTCCCGGCTTGCGCTCCAGCGAAGGCGCGAGCTCCTGCAACGCTCTCTTCCACCTGATCAAGACTATTATTGCAATCCTTGCATCCAAGTAGAAGAAGCTGCTCACGCAGTTGGGCGGCCATCGCCTTGGCCAACGCCCACGGATACGCGGTTTCCTCTGCAGTAGCCCACTTGTTCCCAACCCGACCCCAGCCAGCGTGGGGATGGCTGTTGTCACACGGTCGGCGGAGCACAAGATAGGAAGGCAACACGTGGACGAGGAGAGTGGCCTTGCGTCTAGATCCCTCGTACATGCAATGGTGGAAGGTAGTTTGAAACACAGGTACATCTTTGAAGAAGCTGCGCCACCGTTTAGTGAACCACGTGAAACTTCGCAAAGGATTCTCAACGGAAAATAATACACCTCGGCTGTAAAGGGCCCTGCATGCTTTCACTGTGAATGCGTACAAGCGGTTCGCCTGACTGACGCGAAGTTTGGAGATGCCCTTCAAGCCCGGCACCCCGTGCGGGCGCAGATCGGTGCGCAAAATTTCTGGCGCTCCCTCATACTGTATAAGCCGGGCGCGACTTGCGGTCCCGCAGGGAGGGGCCCAGTGTACATATAGCAAACTGGGTTCATCTATCAGATTCATGAAGTGTGCTTGCCCTGCCTCTGTGCTCAGGTCCAAGCTGATCGCAGGGCACGAGCTGCCCTCTCCTTTGGTGTCAATCTGGAAGGAGTCAAGCATACCACACTTTCTAATGCATGCAGTCAGCCGGGCTCTCTGTGCAGTCACGCGGTGCTCGCGCTCAGCGGGGGCCATGGTCACTGCACCAACATCTTCGCCTTTTTCGACCTTTTGCTTGAGATCGGCTACTACCAACGTATGGCTTTCGAAGATTAGTCTCTTAGTAGCAGCAACCACCCCGGGGTTGATATTGTGACCCTCGAACATCGCTGTGACCTGGGCAGTGCTGGGATGGTTCCCTGGGGGAACTGCTGCAAACGCTGGAGCCTTGCTAAGCTGTTGATGCCGCTGCCGGTCAGAGCGTCTACATCTGCTTGCTGAAGGCCGACCTCAAGTGCGCGGACACAAACGCCGCTCTACTCTCGGTCAACGAACCCATGGCTCACAAGTCTCTGAGGCTCTACCGACCGCTCCTAGATGTTTGCGCATGTGACACACATTTGAGGGCTACGACATGCAAATGACGTCTGCTGCTGCAAGTTAGGGGCACATCTCCCTACCTGACTCGCTCGCTTTCATCAAACAGGGGCACATCTCCCTCTCTCCCTTGAGGCACATTCCTCCAAGGCACTCCCTGACATCAGGTCGCTTTGCACTCAAGAAACATGTGGAATGAACGAGTGAACAGACGCGTCCCTGCACTCTCAGGTGTCCCGTTTAGCTTGCAGCGCCATGCTTCCTAACAGTCTCTACCACGGACCCTACGGCTTCAGCCAAGGCCCCGGTGTCTCGAAGTGGCTTTGCCCCTTCGCATGTTCTACATTTTCGGAGTTCCAAAAATGGCGTCTCTGTGACGCGCTCGTAATCAGCGCTCATCTTACGGCCACACGAAAAAACTTCAGACGAACTTCCCTCTGTCTGCAAATGGACGACCTGCGTGCGGACATGGCGGAACATGATGCAACCCGGCTGCCATGCACCTTTGGGCTTTGCAAGCGGACAACGGAAGGTTTCATGCCCTCGCGTAGCATCCCGCATGCCTGACACAACCTCATCCTGAGATTCGGAGCTGTCGGAGGAAGATCCTGAACTCGACTCCCCTTCGCCAGGACCCTCCCCCTCATCATCAACAGCGTTCCATTGTTTTTGCTTGGAGTGCCCGTTTTGACTCGTCCGGAGCGTGTCAGATCGGGGAGAAAGGTGCGCTTCCGCACTGCAGCAAGCAACTGAACATATTCTCGCAATGCAGGCGCTAAGAAATCTCTCCCGTAGGTGTTGAGAGCGCCATCCCCGGTACTATGATGACCCAACTGAAGTCTAACCCGGCGTCCCAGGCCGAACTTGCTGGCCCATGGAAGAGTCGTGCTCTTAAGGGAGTGCCCGCTCACGCCCTCAGCACTGCGTCTTTCTTGACTCAAAAGCAAGCGGAGCCATGCTCCTGCCTCTGCTGCGGTTACAGAACGCTGCACCCAGCCTCCCGCTTGGTCGGGCGCCGGCAGCAGGGGCCCCAACGGACGATCTTCAAGGTCGAGACCCACCATTTTTGCAACCTCAACGAACTTCAGTCCCCAACTACCTGTCCCGATGCCCATGGCGGGGGCAACAAGGGGCATTGCAAGGCCCTGGGCAGCAAATCCTTAGCCGTCTTGCGGCTCCTTGTTCGACACTCTATGAAACCCTCACTTTTGTCGACTAGTCCGGCAGAATCGAGAATCCAACCATAGACCCTTTTCAGGTCGCTGATCCGGCTGCGACTGAACAGTGCGAACAGGAAGCATCCTGCAGCGTACCGATCAACTGGGCTGGCGTCAGGTTTCCCAGTGTCTCTTCAAGCAGATCAACCCCATCGACAGTCAAGACCTCGCTTTGCTTTCGCTCAGACCTCTTCTGGATCTGAGTGGCAACCAACCCTAGGGCCCAGGGGCTGAAGACACGGGGAGCCTTGGCCACTCTTAGGAAACCACTCCCAACGGTCCCCTCATCCATTGGCACGCCGACAACGTGGATTGCAAAGTGCACACTTTCAGTGAAGCTGGTGAAAGCCCCGGGCTTGGCTTTCTGAGCGCACAGACCCTCCAGGTACTCATCGAAGTGAAAACTGTTGAAGGGCAAAACTCTGTCTCCCGGGAAACGCAAGTGCACCCAACTGACAAAGCGGAACAAAGCATTACCTCGTTTGGCCACTGTGCTGACTGCTTTCTTCCCGAAGAGCTCGCGCATGCACTTAAGAGCATTCCGACCCTGTCTTCCTGCGAGACGCACACCTATTAAGGAAGTTGGGTGCCTGCTCGCAGGTGCCGCAGTCTACTGGGGTTGGCGTAGGAACGAAGCGCAACCGACTGTCAAAAATGAAAGTACATAAAAATTCACCTTTTCAGAACTTGACCATCTCTTGTGCCCCGCACCCCCTGCCCGCTGTTATTTTATTTTCTTGTACATGCTGCACTTCGATTTCCATGCTTTGGATTTACCCATGATGCATGTTGACTTTGAGCTTGCCGCCGTAGCCAGCACAGCTCTGGCCTATCACACGTGTCAGAGCGTCAAATTTTCTTTGTGAACCGTGTGGGTGCCCAAACGGGTTCTGCTTCAACCAGGCCCCTTAACCTGCGCCGTTAGGGCACCGTGCACGCAGCCCCGTGGGGGCTGCAGATGGGAACACTGGTCCCTGAGGACTCCGTTGAAGAGGAGGCCGAGAGAGCTCACTTGCGTTTGACTTGGGATCACGCCACTTCTATAGGTCGTATTTCCCAGTCCCTTCTTGAGCTGCAATTGCAAGTGCAAGCACAAGCTTCTGACATCGAGGATTTGCAGTCTCAGGTTCAGAACTTGTCATCGCAAGTTGGACTCTTGTCTGCTGAGCGAGCCGGCTTCTTGCGAGCTGTGGGTGTGCCGCCCCCTGACTGGTCTGGGACGTCACCCTGGACTCTTGTTCATCGACTTGTGGACGACATCCAGCGGCGCTTAGGCCACTTGTGGCGCGTGTTTGGTCCGCGTCAGCCGACGCCCGACCTGTCTGCCCTTGATCCCTAACTTTTAACATGAACCTAAGCTCGGGCCCTGCATACGGGCCTCGCATTGTTCACTTGCGTGATTGCAATCATGAGGCTTGCTTGAGGATTTTGCAGCCTGAGTTACACTGGCGCGTACGAGTAGACATGTGGCTTCGTGCATTGCAGAGCAACCTCCCGCCTCCGCAGGTTGAACCATCTGGCTTGCCAGGAGAGAGCACGCCCTCTGTTTCTTGGTGTTGCAGTTTTGACCGTCCTCCCTCTCTTGGAAAAACCTGTTCCGAAGATGCCTCGCCCGGGGCAGCTCAAAGGCTTTTCGCCCGTTTGCCGTTGGCCAAACGCATACGCTTGTGTGGGCATACTGACACATGCACGCGCACCCTGAGCACTGTCTCGCTCCCATAGTGGGCTGCAGTCGCCATGAATCCTCCTGAATTTTGCTGGGGACTCTCAGTCAGGAGTGACTTCTTTCTTGAGCCTTGTACATGACTTCTAATTTCTTTCATCACTCTTCTGCCACTGCCAAGATGTCAGATTCTGCACGTGAGTGAAGTGACTTGCGTGCCAATGCCCCCTGGAGCAGAAATGACCCTCCTTGCATGAGTGCACTTGACAGGACTGTATTCAATGTGTGCTTTGCTTGATGTGACGTTGCAAGTCCAGTCATCGGTTTGGAGTTATGCATCTCCTTGTATTCAATGTGTGCTTTGCTTGATGTGACGTTGCAAGTCCAGTCATCGGTTTGGAGTTATGCATCTCCTTGCGAATGATTTTGTGTCAGTTTTTGGTTTAAAGTATGTCTTCGCTTGAGAATAGCTCTGAGCGCCCTGACGCTGATGGATCAGGTCATGTCATCATTGAGACACATCGAGGCAGTTTCGACCGCTTGGGAGATGATTTCCCCCAAAATCACGGATCATTCACAGAAGAGTTGGATGCCATCGATGAATTTCAGGTCCCGTCTCCATCGCCGTTCTTCCAAGACAAGCATGATGGTTCCGAGGTTGTGAGTACCAATTCCCGAGCCAGAGAAGCCATATGGTACGAGCCAGTTGCTGACGCGCCATCAGAATGCCAAGACGACCCTGTGCATGAGCCCGCACCTAAAGCCCGCAAGACTATGGCCACGCAGTGCAATGAATCCAGTCAGTTGCCTCTGCCTGTTTCGCAAGCATTGTACGAAGAGAAGCGCAAGCCTATCATGAAGTTTCCGTGGGAGCAGGGATTCGGAGCCGCGGTGTTTGAAGGTCCTCGCCACAATCTCCAGTATCCCTTCACATTGTCTTTTCTTGGACGCGCAGAGTCAACTGCAGATCTTATTGCTCACCGTGATGGTTCAGCTGGGGCTTTCGAATGGGTTGTGCAAAATCAGCAGAGGGCCAAGCGTCTTTATGCCACCAGGATGGCCAAGTCAGACGATCAGTTGCGTCTTGCTGCCTTGACTAGATTGCGCAACATCATCCTCTTCGAACCGAGCGACTCCAAGCTAGGTCGTTCCCTACTGGAGGCTAGCGGGTGCATCATCCCGGCACCAAAGCTTGCATCTATCTTATCTGACGTATATGCAAGCAAAGCAACGGCTACCTTGTGCAAGCGCTCATGTGACTTCATGCGCTTCTCTGTCTGGCAGGTGCAATCCAACGGGGGTCGCCCGTTAGCCCCCACTGAGCAGCATCTGTATGACTATATTTGTCATCTTCGTGATCAAAAGGCCGCGCCTACTGCTGCAGGGGCCTTTGTGTCGTCTTGGAGGTTTATGCACTTCACCGCTGTGACCAACAGCACTGATTGCATTTCTCCTCGTGTCGAAGGAGGTGCTCACAACTGCTACATGGAGAAACGGCCCTTGCAGCAAGCCCCAGCACTGAAAGTTTGGCTAGTAAAATCCCTCGAGAAGGCAGTCTTCGATGGATCAGTGATCCATTCTATCATCGCTGGGTTCTGTCTTTTTTGCCTCTTTTCTTGTGCTCGATGGAGCGACGCCGCCAAGGCCCGAAGCTTGTCCATTGATGTTTCGGGCTCTGTGTTCTTGATCGAGGCTCTGATGCTTGGGCACAAAACCGCAAAGAAACAGGCTGATCGGCGCACATTGATGCCTCTGATTGCTCTAGGGCATACCTTCAGTAGTCAGCCATGGGCTGAAGCGTGGCTGAAGTCACGCCGGATCGCTGGTCTCGAGGACGAGCACTTGTTGATGCCAGCTTGCGATGAGATGGCTGAATGCTTTCTTGAGAGGCATATGACGGCAGCTGAGGGTGGCGCCTGGTTACAGGAAATTTTAGCCTCTAGACATCCTGACTTCAAGGACATCAAACTTTACACGACGCATAGCCTCAAGGCCACGCCCTTGTCGTGGGCTACCAAGTCGAATCACTTCACCGATGCCGAAAAACGTGTGCTCGGTCATCATGTGGGGCCTGGTGAGGCAATGCCTGTCACCTACGGCCGCGATGTGATGGCACCCGTGCTCGGCAAGTTGCAACACCTCGTCCACCAAATCCGCCAGGGTGACTTCGACCCTGATGCCAGTCGTGCCAGCCGTGTGGCGCAAATTGCCGCGGACCTGACGCGCGAGGATGCCGCCAAAGCACTTCAACGCTTTGACGAGTCCGAGGTTTCTGACGTTGACCTCGAAGATCACGATGATCTCCAACACCAATCCTGCCTGGTGCCAGCTTCTACTGACGGGCTGAAGGAACCAGAGGTCGGGAAATATGTCCAGCATTGTATTTCATCTATTGTACATGCTGTTTCTGCGAACCCCGCTACTCTCAAGTGCGGGAGACCACTCAGTCAAAACTACTATGCCATTTCTTATGACCCCCTTGAGCCGCGTGACTTCATCCTGTGCGAACAGTGCCGGGGCACGCGAAGCCTGGGAGAGTCGGTATGACCACGTTTTCATGTGATTTTACAGTCTAGGGTTGCTTTTCTTTTGGTCGCCCTATCCACTGACTCCGCCCTGCAGTGATTCTAATTCGCAACCTTAGCCGTACCTTCAAGTTCATCTTTGCATAAGAGAGTCAGCAATTCCACTACTTTACTGATTTGGCTGCAGGAGATCAAAACATGCACGTGCTGATTTGCCATCTGCAGAGATGTTCCAATGTACATGCATGTCCTGCTATGCACTTTACATGCTTCGTGTTGTATGCCACGAACAATGACGCGTGACCTATGCAAGGCTCTCAGGGTCCACTTCCTTGTCTTGCAAGCTGCAGCCTGACTGCCATGTCGTCCACCATGCTTGAGTCCGAAGCCAGCTTCACCGATAGAGCGCTGGCAGTGGGCATGGAGGCAGCATTTGTGAACAGTCTTGTTGGTGCCGGTATCAACAGTTTTGGTCGCCTTGCTTACATTTGCGCAGTCAACCCCCAAAGTGGCGACGATGCCCCATTAATCGAAGCTGTGGAGAAACTCTTGAAGCGTGCCTTGGCTGCTCGCGAGATCCCAGATCTTCGTCGCCTGTGGTTTGAAGCTCACACTTTCGCAATTTCGGACTTGAAGTCCCGAGTTGAAAGATCCACTTTGGACCCTCCACGGGAACTTCCGCTGGCCGAGAGAATTTCTCGTCTGGAGGCGCAAAAGCGTCGCTTGCCCAGTCTCGTCTTTACAGAGCGAGTTGAACCTTCTCACGGTCTAGTCGACAAGCTGCAATCTATGATCGACAGTGGCACCATCACTTACTTGCCCCCACATAAGTGCCCATCCCGAGCCCAGGAAATCTGTAATGACAAGCCGATGCAGCAGGTGACCCTTGATTCTGAGGGCGCTTTGAAGATCTCCAAACGCCACGCCGATCTGGAGTGTGAGACTCGGGGCGAACTCAAGCTTCGTGAAGCCTTTACCAGGCGTGCTCTTGCGTACGACCAGGTGGGTCTCATGTCGTTCATTGCCCAGGAAAAGTGGCATACGTACTTGTTTGATGCCGTCACCCGCGAGCCTCCACCCAACCACCGCTATGTCAGCATCGGCCAAGCCCTGAACGCCGATCGCGAGCTTTGGCAGCTCATTGCCCAAGAGAGCCGCGGTGACATCAAGATCATCAAAGGCACTGATCCCCCTTTGGATGCCTTCATTAAGCGCTTTCAGCACTCTCCGCAGGTGAATGTCTGTTTGGCCCCCCTTCCTGCCTTCTCCCCTTACAAGGGAGAGCGTCCAGATGGTGGCAAGGGCCCTGGTAAAAAGGGCGACCGCGCCGGCAAAGGCAAGGGTTCTCAGGGCAAAGAAGGCAAGGGCACGCCTTTGAAGCGCAAAGGCGAGACCTTGCAGCAGGATCCCCGTCGTGCAGAAATCCTCAAGCTTTTGCGTGAGATCCCTCCCAACTGCGTTTCTCGCTTGCCCAAGACTCGGCAGTTCATTTGTGCCCTCTTCCAGCATGGCAAATGCCCACATCAGTCCAAGGAGCGTTGTGAGCGTGGTCTGCACTGCTGTTGGCATAAGGACTGCTTCAAGAAAGGCGTGCCCTTCTGTGAATGCAGTCACTCGTGACTAGGGCCTGTTGTTTCCGGCACCACCGACTCCCCGCCTTTTGCGGTTTTCTTCGAAATTTGTTGCGGCTCTGCTGTTTTGTCATACGCTGCCGCATGCAAGGGCTGGCATGTTTTCCCCATCGACCACGCCAGCAATCGTTTCAAGCCACGCGTTGCCTTTTTGCCGATTGACCTTAGCCTCTCTTCTTCTGCTCTTTTGCTCGGGGACATGTTGCGTGTTACCCGAGCCTCTTGGATCCACCTAGGGATCCCGTGCGGGACATCCAGTCGTGCTCGGCAAATTGCCGTTCCGGCTCATTTGCGTGCTCAAGGAGCACCTCAGCCTCGCCCGCTGCGTTCAGCCAAGCATCCTTTAGGTCTGCCTCATCTTCAGCCCGCCGAAGCTCAGCGTGTGGAAGCCGCCAATGCTGTTTACCGGACTTGTGTTTCCTGCCTCCATCAGGCTTGGCTCCTGGGCGCCACTGTTTCCATCGAGAACCCCGACACGGCCTGGACCTGGGCTGCCCTCGCCCTTCTGGTCAAGCAGTTCGCCGCTGAGCAATCCTGCCCTGAGTTTGCTGATTGGTACTTTGGCCTTGAAGACGTGCGTTTTGACATGTGCATGCATGGTGGCGACCGCCCTAAGCCGACTCGTTTCCGAGCCACCCCATCTATTTTCAGCTCTCTTGCCATCAGCTGCGACCAGACCCATGCCCATCGCCCTTGGTCCGTCCAGAAGGAAGGTCACCGTTGGCTGTTTGACACTGCCGCAGCTGCCCAGTACCCTTCTCTCTTGTGTGAGCGCGCCGTTGATGCCGTCTCCGCGGGCCTTGACCCCCAGTTCCTGCAGGACACGACGCAGGCTTTCCGCCTCTCCTCCTTGGCTTCCATTGGTGTCCAGAAGCCAAAGCATGTTGCCCTCATCCCCGAGTTCAAAGCCAAGGTATGGGCATCCGAGCCGCCTCACCCTGATGCCAAGCCCCTCCCAGGTGTCACATGCAGTCAATGCAGTCAGTCTCAAGCCCAGGCCCCTGCCACTCCGTGCTGGCCTGTGCCTTTGATATCCCCACAAGACCTCCCGTGCCCTTGCTTGACGTCAGCGCCCCCCCACGAGCGGCTGGCATGGTCACTTGTGCAGTCGGGTCAGGCTTCGCGTGACGACTTGACTACACTTTGTCATTTACTCCCGTCCGATCCCGCTTCCCGCCGCAACCGCCAAGCCGAAGGCGTTGCTTGGACATGTGGAGCCTACACTTTCTCTGGGGACGTCGGTCTGCATCGTTCTGTGCGTACCAGCCCTTGGACGAGTCTTGTCTTGGCCGCTGTGGTCTGTCACTTTGCTCCAGGAGCCATGTGCACGTCCATTGCTGTCTTTTGTGACATGGCCAGCCCCGTCCACTGTGATCGGTTCAACGACCACAGATTCTTCAACGTCTTGGTCCCTCTCAGCCACTTCCAGGACGGCGATGTCTGGGTCAGATCTTCTTCCGGTGTGCACCCGGCCCCTGACGGGTCGGGGGTCATGGGCGAACTCGTCCCTGTCTCCGCGGGACCTTGCTTGCTGCGCACATCTGTGCCCCATGCTGTCATGCCGTGGCGCGGTAGTCGCGTCGTCTTGGCAGCTTTTGTGGTGTCCTCGTGGCCCCGGTTGCCCCAAAAAGACCTTGCATCTTTGCAAGAGCTTCGATTCCCGTGGCCCAATGTGCATTGCTCTGCCTCCAATGCCGCGTGGGGAGAAGGAGTTGGAGGCCTCATCTACAAGGCCACAAACAGTGTCAAGCCGCAAGCGTGGGGTGTGTACTATACGCCAGAAGAGCACCTCGGATGCGCCATCAACTTGCCACACCCCATCGATAAGGCATGCTCTGTTCCGGACATACTCAGAAGGGCAGTGTTCGATCTTGCAACGGTTGGTTGCAAAGAAATGCACAAAAGGCGTCTTGCTAAACTCGAGGAAATCAAGGACAGAGCATCCTATCGCCAGGTGCAGGAAGGGCACCCCATCACCAAAGGAAAAAGGTTGGCCTTGTTCAGGGAGCTTTTGGTTGAGTCAGGTTTCCCCGACTTGAGTGTATGCGACTTCATGGAAGAAGGTGTCAGCTTGGTGGGTGCAGAACCCGATTCCCCTCTCTTCAGCATAAGGCCTAAACCAATGACAATGACCCCTGAGCAGCTTGATTCGCAATCCGTCTGGCGCAGAAGGGCGCTTCTATCATCCCCGCCTCAGCAGCTGGAGCCTGAAGAGCTCATGATGCTCAATGATGAGACAGAAGCTGAGTGCAAGGCCGGCTTCCTCGAGGGCCCCTTTAGTTCTGAAGCAGAAGTGTCATCTCGCCTAGGCACAGACCAATGGTCTCCAAGTCAAAGGTTTTTGCTCCTTCAGGGAGAAGACCAGAAGCCAAGGGTCATCGACAACTTGCGTGATTCTGGCGTGAACGCTGCGTTCGGCTCCAGCTCATACCTGTCAATGCATGACTGCGACTTTGTGACGAGCTTGTGCCTTTTCGTCTCCAAGGTTTGGGCCAACAGGTCTGAGGTATCAGTCACTCTTGAGACGGGTGAAGTCTTGAGGGGGCCGTGGCACAGCGACTTTGCTGACTCCAATTGCGAATGGGTTGGGCGATGTTTCGACTTGTCTAAGGCCTATAAGCAAGTACCCATCAAGGAAGCGTCTCTAAAGTACGCAGTCATTGCAATGCCTTCCAGGACAGGTTGTTGGGCCTTTTATCTTGCAAGGGGCTTGCCTTTCGGAGGTTCCGGATCTGTGTTCTCCTTTTGCAAGGTATCCAAGGCTATATGGCACCTGGCCGTGACGCAGCTCTCCATCATCTCCAGTGTATACGTTGATGACTTTCCAACTCTTGAGGTCAGCCCTCTCGCCCCAAGCACGACCCACGTGTTCTCAGATCTCTTGGATACCTTGGGGTGGGCCCATGCCACCTCTGGAAAGAAAGCTGTTGACTTCCAACAAAAGTGGTGCGCCTTGGGAGCACAGTTCGACGTATCACGATTGCATGAGGGGTCCCTGCAGGTGTCCAACAAGCCTGGCAGGCTTGAGCGCATTCTTTCCATGGCCGAAACTATGGAGGTGCCTGAGGCAAGGGTCAAGCAAACTGCTGAGTCACTCCATGGCTTGCTTAACTTCGCAGGGGGGTTTGTTCTAGGGCACGCCTTCAAGCCGGTGGCCAAACTGTACTCTGCATTGGCCGTGTCCCCATCATCAGCAGGGCCTGAGAGCTTACGCGAGAATCGCATGTTGCTCCAGTCCGTGGTGCAAACTTGCAAGCCAAGGGTTTTCAGCATCCACTCCCCTGGCGCCCCCCTTGTTCTCTACACCGATGGTTCTTTCGAAAAGTGTAAGGGATTATGGGGTTGTTTACTGGTTGACCCAGCATCAGGGCGCAAAGCCGTTCTCCATGGGCGTGTTCCCAATCGCATCATTTCACACTGGACCCGAGTTGCTGGCCAGCAGGTGATCTGTGAAATCGAGCTGCTGGCCGTCGTATGTGCTAGGTGGGCATTTGGGGATGCTTTCGAATCCAGGCTGGGCTTCGTGTTCGTTGACAACGAGTCCGCACGCATGACACTCATCAAGCGATGCAGCCCAGCCTTAGCGATGTTCCGGTTGATCGCAGCGTTGAGCGCTATCGATGCCGTCCATTCGTTCGGCGCATGGTACGAGAGGGTCCCGTCAAAGAGCAACCCTGCGGACCCTCCTTCAAGGGGACTGATCAGCGCGATCTGTGAGAAGCTCTCAGCCTGTGACGAGGGGTGCTTCGAAATCCCTCCTGAACTTGAAAAGTTCATCCTCAGTGACACCTTCGAAAAGCGTTTGCTCGACGATCTTGTCTCTGCGTACCAACGGAGGGCGCAGCAGCATGGCATGAAAGGGGGAAACAAGATGCTGCTGAGCAACAGCGGACAGGTGAGAGGATGAGTGTTCCATCTGCCACCTGCTGTCTTTACCCCCGCCATCTTCCAACCAGAAACCGAGCAGACTCAAGAAGGTGCGAGCGAAAAAAAAGAAGGAACAATGTCCGAGTGTTGACGCATTTTAGCTGCACAGCAGTTGTGCTGGGTTCACATGTCTTGTCACTCTTCATGTTCCATGAGTTGCTGACTTCACGCTACATGTCGGTCTACCCCGGTTAGACGTTGGGTGCCTGCTCGCAGGTGCCGCAGTCTACTGGGGTTGGCGTAGGAACGAAGCGCAACCGACTGTCAAAAATGAAAGTACATAAAAATTCACCTCTTCAGAACTTGACCATCTCTTGTGCCCCGCACCTCCTGCCCGCAGTTATTTTATTTTCTTGTACATGCTGCACTTCGATTTCCATGCTTTGGATTTACCCATGATGCATGTTGACTTTGAGCTTGCCGCCGTAGCCAGCACAGCTCTGGCCTATCACACGTGTCAGAGCGTCAAATTTTCTTTGTGACCCACCCACCCACCCGGGGGGAAACAAGATGCTGCTGAGCAACAGCGGACAGGTGAGAGGATGAGTGTTCCATCTGCCACCTGCTGTCTTTACCCCCCAAGAAGGTGCGAGCGCAAAAAGAAGGAACAATGTCCGAGTGTTGACGCATTTTAGCTGCACAGCAGTTGTGCTGGGTTCACATGTCTTGTCACTCTTCATGTTCCATGAGTTGCTGACTTCACGCTACATGTCGGTCTACCCCGGTTAGACATCGAGATATATTGAAGAGATCGAAATTCTTCTTTGTATATGGCTATGGATTTCCTGTTCGGATATCCGTGCCGCTTGGGTGATATTTTTCATCAAAGATTCTGGAATTTCACGTTGATCCGGGATTCAGTAGAAAGCAAGCGCATCTACGATCCCTTTTTCATTTTAGGACAGCGAGGGTACGAGCGTTTTCAAACTGTGATTTTCTTGGACATATGCAGTTGGTCACCTGCGCATGCTTTGAGGGCACAATGCATCACTGCCTGTGCGCGTGAGTGTGCTTGATGTGCAATGCAGTTTTTGTGGGTCACGTTTTGCTTGACTGCGTTTTTCCTTCATGTGCAGAAATTTTCTTGATCGGGTTGCTATCCCGGCTTGCAACGCAGTGCTCAAGTGTGAGCGACAGAGTGAAAATTGTGCTTGTCAGTTCCCGGGAAGGGGCCCGGGTGCTCCTCTGGCTCGATCCTTCCAGTTGGCTTGCACTTGCTTGCTCCGGCCGAAGGCCGCACGCGTGCGCCCGACAGCTTCTCCAGCTGTCTGCATAGTTGCCCTTTTCCTGGATGGCTCAGCCCCCTCGTGCCCCAGAAGGTTTGCTAGCTGGGGGTTTGGATCCTGGGTCCCTTCGTGTGCCTGAGGACAACGACCGGCGGAGACAGGCAGAGGTGCCTGTTCAGGATTATGAGGCTCATTTGGCTGCCTGCACTCGCAAGGTTAATAAGACGGGCTATTCTCGGTCTTGGGATTTTCGGTTGAGGCCTTCTTCTGTGCTCTTTACCGGTGTGGTTAGGTCGCGAGGCATGTTCCCACCAGTGCCCTCGCTTGTGCCTGTGATCACTCCAGTGACGCCAACCGTTGCTGCAGTCACGAAGATTGCGATTTCCCGGGTTCGTTTGGACGATTCTTGGGGTGCTCACCTTGAGAGGAGGCTTAGTGCTGCCATACAAAAGTGGGTTGCCTTAGTGGTTGAGGATCCTTTATCTTTTGACGTTGGTAGGCGGTGTGCTGCTTTCGTGGGAAATGACGAGGCGATTTCTCAGGGCCTTCTGCACACTTTTTCGGGCAAATCGGCAGGTACCTTGCACAGCCGGGCTGGGCCTCTCATCAGGTTTGTTGCCTGGGCCAAGGCTCGCCAGTGCAAGCCCCTACCCTTCAGCGAGGCGCTTTTGTATGATTTTCTGCTTGAATCCGAGAGCACTTGTGCGCCGTCATTCGGAAAGGCGTTGATGTCTGCACTTGCATTTTGCAAATTTGTGCTGGGCGTTGAGAATGTTTCTGATGTTCTGAGCAGTGGTCGGTTTGGGGGCTTGGCTCGTTCGATGTTCCTGAACAAAAGGAAGCGACGGCAGAAGCCACCCCTCACCGGCCGCCTTGGGCTGAACTTGTGGTTCAGGATCCTGATGCTCAGGTTTATGTTCGCCATATAACTTCAAGGAAGTTGCACCGCCTCGCTGACGAGAGTGGGAATAGGCTGAAGTGCGGAAAGGCGTGCGCGCGAAAGTTCGAGAGGCTCAGTGAGAAACCAAGGTTTATGGCTGACATGTGCTTGAATTGTTTCAAGTGAGCCCGGCTCAACTGAGGGGCAGCCGGATCACTCGGCACATGGGTCGTGTCTTTGTGACGCAGCCGGATAGACTCGGCTATGCACTCACCGGTCCTCGCGGTGGAGTTTGATTATGTGAGCAGTTGCACCGGTGCTCGCGGTGTTTTGGTGTGCCGGTCCGCTCGGCGAGCTGAAAGAGCTCAGGTTAACCGGGGCACGCGGTTTTGGAGGGAAGTCAACCATGACTTGAAAATGTGGCTGTACGGTGCTGTGGTTCCGTGAGGGTGTGATTTGCATACGACAACTTCTTGTTGTTGTGAGTGATAACTTGAGCATACAGTTTTGGCTGAAGGATCGTGTAGTGCACTTGCAGGACCATTCGCCATGGCCATCACCGAGAGCAAGGCAAACTTTTCTTCCAGGGCGACGGCCTTGGGGTTGGCCGCTGACGTTTTGAAGAAGTTCACTGATGCCGGCATTGATTGCATGAGCAAGTTTGCCTTCATTAGTGCGTTCGTGCCCGGCAACACTGACGAGTCCCCTTTTACCGATGCAGTTGCTGGGGTTTTGGGGCGCGCTGCTAATGTGGCAGAGTTGAGCGTGCTGCGCAGGCTTCTTCATGAGAGCTACAACCTCACTGTCTCAGAGCTTCAGGTGCAGGTTGAAAGAACGGAAGATTCTGCTCCGAGGCGGTTGGCGGCTCCCGATCGAGCCGATAGGCTTCAGCGGCAACAAGTCAGGCTTGCTGGCTTGAACATCCATGGCCCTACTCTCCCGGGTCATTCGGTCATCGATCGTTGCGTCCAGATGTATGAGGATAATTCTCTTTCATACCTACCTTTGCAGTCTTGTCCCTGCCGGGATGATGAAGTGAAGTTCAAGAAGGACCGAGATGACAAGATGCTTGCTGTGGATGGCACGGGGCACGTGTCTCTTAGGTCGCAGGCCGTGAAAGTGGAAGCCGACGTGTCCACTGACCTTTTGCTTAAGCATGCGCTTACACGTCGTGGGCTTGCGCTGGACCAAGCTGGCATTCTGAGCTTTGCGGAGAATGAGCGTTGGTCTGAGGCGTTGTTTCAGGCTCGATTTCGAGATCCGCCAGACCAGTATGCCCGTGTCACGCTCCAGCAACTCATCCAGGCGGACAGGCAGGTTTTGTTGAAGCAGCTGATCGGACCTGTCAGGGGATTCAGGTGGTGGCTTCCGGACGACCAGTCGATCGCATTTGGAGTGACACCATGTCTTGCAACAATGTCACTCACCTGCTGCAACCCTTGCCCTTGCCTCCACCAGCTCCTTTGCATCCACGGCCTGGGCCCTATGATGACCGCAGGGGTTTGAAGGGTCGCGGCAGGGGAAAAGGGAAAGGTAAAGGAAAGGGAAATGTTCGTATGCCTGCTGAGCTGTCCGATGGTGTGCCAGTCACCGCCCGGGGCTTGCCCATCTGCTTCGACCACAACTTGGGGCGGTGTCAGCGTGCCGTTACTAGTGGCAAGTGCGATCGTGGTCTTCACATTTGTTGCATCAAAGGTTGCTTCAAGCGGGATCATGTCTATACGAATTGCCCCAAGCATAAGAGGGAGTGACTAGGCTCTGAGACGCAGGTCCACGTGACTGATGATAAAGATGTAGCACAGCTTGGTGAGGAGCTTGTGCTCTCTTCTTCCGATGATGAGATCCCTGAAGGGGAGTCATCACCGAAACACGTCCCGTGCTCGGCCTCAGTTCCGCCTCAGCCGCTTTCCGACAATCCCGAAGCTTTTGCGTCTCAGCTGCTCGAGAAGCCGTGGCTTGAGGCGAGCGATGTTTTGCAGCTTTTTGAGATGTTGCCAATGGCCGTGCCCCAGCGTGGAACTGAGGGCAAGGCTTTTGCTACCGGAGCGTTCGCTCGAGTCAAGGTTGGGTTGCGTACTAATGTTGCCGTTTTCCCTCAGGCGTCCCGCGTCTTTGCTTCATTCGTGCGCCAATCTGCCCCAGGACATAAGTTCACTTCAGTTGTGGTTTTTGAGGGGGTTCGCACTAAACCCCACCGTGATCAGCAGAACTCGTGTGTACCCAATTTGGTGGTTCCTTTGTCAAGTTTTGAGAAGGGTGATATTTGGGTGGCCACTGACTGTGGAACTGTCTCTCGACAGGTCAATGGCCAGCAGCAGAAGGGAGTTCTCTTGCCCGTGGGAGCCGGGCCCGTGCTCTTTGATGCACGTCGTGCTCTGCATCTCACTGAGCCTTGGAAAGGCCGCCGTGTGGTCTTAGTGGCCTTTTCTATAGGTGCATTTTCAAGGCTGTCCAGTGAGGCTTCTGAACGCTTGTCTGCCCTGCAGTTTAACTTGCCAAACCAGCCCGATGCTGCTGCGTTCCAAGAGCGCCCGCAATTGCCGGTGCGTCTTCCCTGGCCGCCTCGATTGCCCCTCCTTGCATCTGCGCCTTCGGTTCCCGACATTCCTAAGCCGGCTGCTGGAGAGCCCTTGTTCTTGGAGCTATGTGCTGGTACTGCCATGTTGTCGCGCTGCTTTCATGAGGTCGGCGTCCCGGTCATGCCCATTGACCACCAGCACAATCGGCACCTTCCGTTGGCTAAGGTGTGTAACCTCAGCCTCACTGAGGATTCGACCTGGGACTTCCTACGACACTTGATTGACACTTGCGACATCCTGTTTGTGCATGCCGCTCCCCCGTGCGGAACATGCTCTATGGCCCGGCATATCCGGCGCAAGGGTGTGTCTGCTGGCCCCCTTCGTTCCAAGCAGTTCCCTATGGGCTTGCCGTCCCTGAACGGAGTCGACCGGGCAAAGGTCGAGGCTGCAAACCAGATTTACACTAAGCTGGGTCGTTTCCTGCAGGACTTGGGTCGTCGTGCCATTCCTTGGTCTGTCGAGAATCCTGAGTCGAGTATGCTCTGGCAGCTGCCGTGTTTTCAGCCCTTGGTGCAGGACAACCATGTCTTCTCCTTTGACATGTGTTGTTACGGGGGGTCCCGCCTGACCCACAGGTCTTTGCTCACTTCGTGCTTTGGGCTTCGCCATTTTCGCCAGCGGTGTTCCGGGGGACATGAACATTTGCCGTGGACACCAAAGGTTGCCCCAGGTGGAAAAGTGCACTTCCCTACGGCAGACGAAGCGGCATATCCGCGTCCGTTCTGCGTGCAATTTGTGGCGCTCGTTTTCCGCCACCTTGGGCGGCCCTTGCCTGCCACGCCTGCCCCTCAGGTGTCAGCCCAGGCGTCTGCCTCTTCAGCTCGCCAGCCCCGTGGGCGCCGTATCCCTCCTGTCATGCCTGAGTTCAAGCGTGTGCTCGTGTATCAGGTTGCTGCGTTGCCCCAGGTGGATCACAAGCGTCGCTTGCTGCAACCTTTGCGGGATGCCCCGGCGGGCTCCAAGCTTATCTCCTCGACGTCTTTGCTCTCTGAAGTGGGGTTGAGTAGTGCCTCGGAGACAACGGTTCAGGCGGTTGCCGAGCTAGTTGATTCGAGCTCGTCTGAGTCAGGTGACACTGCGTCTCCTGTGGGCCCGGATGACCAGGCCAGCACGTGCTTTGAAGTGTCGCTGGGTGTGTATGCTTCCCCCGAAGAATTTGTGGATGAATGCCTGAACGTAGAGCACCCCTTTGATCAGCTGCATGCTGCGCCCGATGTGCTCAAACAGTGCCTTTTTGACATGCTGACCAAGGGGCCTGCTTGGGTCGTGGATCGTAGGGCAAAGCTACTCAAGAAGTGGACCCAGTGGGCTCGCGACCTTGAGGCCGAGGAGGCAGGCCTTCGCAAGTCGTTAGACCTTGAGGTGGCAAAGGTGTTGCAAGGTAAAAGGCTCCTGCTTCTTGAGAAGATTGCGTCGTCAATCGGCTGGGTTGACATGGGCGTTTTTGCTGAGCTTAGGAAGGGCTTTGATTTGGTGGGGCATGCAAAGCACACGGGAGTTTTCGCGCTTGAGTCCAGGCCTCCGAAGCTTCCTAAGGATGACTTTCTTGCTGCCACAAAATTTCTTAGGCCAGCCCTGCTGGGTAAGGTAAAATCGTCGTCCATGGATCGTAATGCACGTGAGCTGTGGGAAAAGACGATGCAGGAGGTGGAGAGTGGTATGTTGGAGGGACCTCTGTCGTCGCAGCAGCTGGATGATAGGCATCCCTCTGGCTGGTTGCCCACTCGGCGTTTCGGGGTGGAACAGACTTCTGCTGCCGGGCGCAAGCTGCGGCCTGTTGATGATTTCACCGAGAACAAGGTGAATCTTGCTTTTGGGTCTATGGATAAGCTGGACTTGAATGCGCTTGATCAACTTATCTGCACCTGCCGCATTTGGGCAAGGGCCATGTGTGGGGGGCATGATTGTGAGCTCGTGCTTTCCTCGGGGCTTGTGCTAAAGGGCCGTGTGCATCCTGGTTGGAAGAAGGCAGGGCATCAGCCGCTTCTGACCACACTTGATCTTCGAGCTGCTTACAAGCAGTTCGCAGTGTCAGCCGACTCGCGAGCTTGGGCAGTTATCGCTTTGCTTAACCCTGATACGCTGGTGCCGGGCCTTTTCGAGTCGAAGGCGTTGCCTTTTGGCAGCGCGGCCTCGGTGCTGCATTTCAACCGCCTCTCGAGATTGTTGTGGAGGTTGGGGGTTGAGCTTTTGATCCCATGGGGAAACTTTTTCGACGACTTCCCTGCAATGTCACCGAGTGCCATTTCAGACAATACCATGAGTACAATGACTGCCTTGTGTTCCCTTCTCGGGTTCGCCTTTGCTGACGATAAGCTCAGCCCCTTCCAGCCTGCTGCCACCATGTTGGGGGTTGAGGTCGATTGTTCAAGGTGTGATGAGGGTTTGGTGCTCGTAAGGAACAAGCCTGGTCGTGCTGAGGAACTCGTGGTGTCTCTTGAGGAGTTTCTGCGCGAGGGAGTGATCTCTCGAAAGCGTTACCTCAGTCTCATGGGTCGACTCCACTACACTGATTCGTACATACTTGGTAAGTCGGGCCGTTTGATCATGGCGGACATTCGCTCGTGGGCAAGAGGGCATTGTTCCGATGAGTTGGTCTTGGACGATGCAGCACGGGAATCGCTGCGTCTGTTCATTGCGCGTCTCCGTGCTTGTGAGCCTCGCCAGGTGCCTTGTGGAGTGGCGAGCCACGTTGTGCACGTCTTCACGGATGGCGCCAGCGAGGGTGAGGTGCACTCGATTGGTGGGGTCCTTGTAGTGCCAGGACGGCTGCATTCTTGCTTTGGGTCTCTTGTTCCCGATCATTTGATCAGCAAATGGACCTCCACGATGCGACACATTATCGGGCCGGTTGAATCATATGCAGTTGCGGTGGCAAGGAGAGTTTGGCACCAGTTCATTGCTTCGCAGCGCGCTTTGTTTTTCATCGATAATGTGCAGGCACAAGATTCCTACATAAAGGGCACCTCTGCCAACCCTTACGTGCGGGAAATCCTCCTTTCTTTTGAGGAGTCGGAAAAACTTTCCCCTTCCTGGACGTGGTTCGCCCGTGTGGCGAGTCCAAGCAATGTCGCAGACGAGCCGTCACGTGCTGCCTTCGAGTTTTTGCATAAGGCTCAATGTCGCAGGGTCACTCCCTCGTGTCCCATCAGTGGTTTTGACCTTGTGGATCTTGGCGCCCTTGGAAAAATTTGAAAGTGGGGTGAAGGGGCCGGACGCCAGATCCGTTTCGCCCCATGCGACAAAAAAGAGTGCATCCGAGCTTTCAGGCATGTGGGATCCGTTGCTTTGCGAGTGCACCTTCATGTGAGTGCTGAGCTTTGCATTTCCCTGCCAAAACATCTAAAGAGTTTTCTTGGTGGTTTGAAAATCCTTTTATGAAAAGGGATTCAGTAGAAAGCAAGCGCATCTACGATCCCTTTTTCATTTTAGGACAGCGAGGGTACGAGCGTTTTCAAACTGTGATTTTCTTGGACATATGCAGTTGGTCACCTGCGCATGCTTTGAGGGCACAATGCATCACTGCCTGTGCGCGTGAGTGTGCTTGATGTGCAATGCAGTTTTTGTGGGTCACGTTTTGCTTGACTGCGTTTTTCCTTCATGTGCAGAAATTTTCTTGATCGGGTCATGTGTTTACTCATAGCTGTTTGCTGTTTGTGAAAGATCACCGTCCTTTGTTGCTTTTGGTTCAAGCCACACACCAAAAACGTGCAGCTTTCAGTGCATCGCTAGCTAGCTTTACTTTTGATAGCAGCATGGAGCCAGACATTTGTTGCAGTTTTTACATCATCACATTGCACTGCTACGTAATTCTTTCCGCAATAGGCGGCGTGCAAGCGTTCCTGTGTGGACATGGATGTCGTCCGGCTCCGGCTGGTTTCCTGTCGGGGATCATGTCAGTGATCTCGAACCTGGCATTGCGTAAATTGCTTTGACTTCAGTTTGGAGCTTCTCGGATAAAGCTCCCCGGATTCAGGTTCAGCAGTCCTGCTTTGGCATTCATCTTGGTTCCCGACCTCTCTACGGGTTGCACTCTGTTCTTGTTGATCGTGCAGTTCGGCTGTGGGCACTTCGCACCACTCCCATAAGTCATCCCTGACTTTCCTGGTGTTTGAACATGTCCACTGACCCCAGAACGCATGCTGCAGCTCCCACATTAGATCTTTGTGAGCCACATGCGGGTCAGTCTGCAGGCCAAGACACCTTTACCTTTGCGCCAGTCAGGGTCAAGCGTTACAGGAATAATCCTCCGGGCCCAGGGCGAGCCTCAGTCAGTGATCTGACTGATGCCACTTCAACCATTTCAACTCTTAACTATACCGTTGAAGAGAAGCCGCCAGGTGAACGATCCCTTTCACCTCGTTTACCGTTGTATTGCAGTCTCTTGATGTGTCTGCAACACCACGGCCTTCATTGACTTTCGGCTCTTGGTCAGTTGTTGCCACAGTGCAGCCTTGTGCGACTCTCGACCTTTGCCGGCACCTTGCCGGACGGTTTGCCCTAGGACTAGGCCTTCGGTTGCCTCGGTTCCTAACGTAACCCCTTTGCCAGCCCCAATTAGGTTTAATATGCATCGAGCACTCCTGCAGTGGGAAGCTCCTTTGCCTCAACCCAGCTACCAGCATGCATATGCATACTCCATCTATCCATCAGCAGCTCGAGGCACGCGGGCGGCTTCTCAGCAAGGGAGAGGTCTGTCTCTGTCTCAGAAACTGATCTTTCCCGGCTTTCTTCCTTTGTCCTCCCATCTCCTAAGGGACCCGCAGCATTAAAGCCTCGTGACCACACCCCAGAGCTTGCCTTAACTCTGCTGCTTTTGCCTCCAATGTGGGGGGTGTTGTTATTCAGAGCACCCCGCACTCAGAGGCCTGGGACTCTATTTTGCTGCTCTGGCGTTCACTGGTGGATATCATTGGCCCTTACAGTTCTGTGCTGCAACAGCTCGAGGGATCACCCAATGGTCCTGCTTTGACATTGATGCTCTTGCAGCTCAACGCATACACAACTGCCCTGCGTTATGCCAAAGCGTGTTTGACGTACTTTGAATTTCTCGTTGACCTCGGTCATTCCTTGGACAACCTCTCCCAACTCGCAGCGGTCGAAGCATTATACGCTCTCCATTGCAGCCGTTCCCAAGACGATGACCTTTCCCTAGATCGGGAGCAAATTGCCTTGGCTTTTCCACTTAATACTTTGAAAGCGCTGCGTTGGTTGCTAAAAACTGTGGCCCTTCTTTTTCCAGACCTTTACTCAGGCCTGGTCAGAGCTTTGTCCGCCCAGCCATCTTCAGATCGTTCTGAAGCCATGCCGCTTCCTCTGGACTTGTCGCTTTTCTTGAATCGCCTGTGCTCGACCTGTCCTCCGCTCCTGAGCTTGCTCTTTTTGCCGGCTCCGCATTGGCTTGTATATGGGTTTCGCTGCGCTTTGCGAACGCATCGCATGCATCGTGGGCAGTTTTATTGTTCGACCCCCAAGCATTAATCATTCGCGGCCTTGCATACCGAAAAAAAAAAAAAACCTCTCGGCGAGGCATGGCTTTTGCTTTCTATGTAGAGGGCATTTACGGCCTTTGAGGCATCCGCTGGCTCCAGCTTTTGGATGCGCTGTGGGGGTCATTGGAACAACTCTCTCCCAATGTGGTGCCTGACTCCCTCTTCTTCTGCTCGTTGCTCTTGGATGATGCCTGCGACTTTGCATTTTGCCCAGCATCGTATGTATCCGCCTTGCGTAGCCTGCGTTCAGCCTTGAATATGTGGGGCCGACTAGGTTTTTACGCATTCCGTAACTTTACTTTGCATTCCTGCAAGGCAACGGTCCTGTCTTGGTGTTCGCAGCTTGGCCCTGGCGACATGGCACGCCGTGAACAGGGACATCGTCGCACCACGTCGGTCACTCTTTACGGTAGGGATGACACGCATGCTGCCCTGGCACTTCAGGCTTCGATCCTTGGCAAGATTCGCACCGGTGTCTTTCGCCCCAGCATTTCCCAACACCGTGGAGCTCAGTCGCCTATATCAGAGCCACAGCTTTTGGTTAGGGAAGGTTTCGCATCTTCAGGTTTTGATGTCCCTTTTCGTTCCCAGGGATTGACTTCTGAACACAACGGTGCAAATCCTTTGCTAGTGGCCGCCCTTCCTCTTGTACCTAGTCAGCCAATTGCTTCGTTTGGTGCATCTCAAGCTGCATCTGCGTCTTTGGACGCCGCCAGCCCTAGGTCCTAGCCCTTTTCATGGCTGGCTAAAACCATACACAGGGCGGTCAACTACGATGTTGCTGTGTCACAGGTGTGCTGGCAAGGAAGAGCGTATAAGATAGCCTGCGGGGCCGTCGTCCGCGCTGAGTGGTAATGCTTTTGGAGCTTCAGGAGCAGGACCTCCTGGGACACGCCGCGCACTTTACAAACGGCCCTCCTGTTTCGGCAGGGGCATCTGCCTTTGAGTTAGGATCACCTTTGGCGATAGGTGTCAACAAAAAGGGAATCTCGATTTCGGTGAGCTTGCGCATCACTGTGCTTTTCATGCTTTAGATGGTTTGCCTTTTCTTTCAGTCAGAGCTTGCCTCAGAGCTTCAGTGCGTAATCGCTTCGGCCCAGCTTTTGGCTCTTACCTCCTCAGGGGTGGATCGGGATTGCAGAGCTTTTTCCCCTGGCCTCGCACCCAGAGTGTCAGAACCGCTGTGAGCGTCCTGTATAGTGGCTGCACAGCAGTTTCAGTGCTTTGATGTTGCACTCTGAGCGTGTGCATCAACATTTCTCCTCTTCACCTTCGGAGCTTTTGGCTTTGCTTTAGCCTGCCCATACTTTGACACTGAGAGTGTCTTTTGCTTGGTGGCTCTTCCCACCCCCGCTTTTTGCTGGCAATGGCAAACACTGACATTTTCCTTGGCCTTGCAGAAGCTGATGTGAACAAGGCAGTGTCTTGGCTGGAGGATGCTCGTCACATGCCGGCCTCCAGTGGCTTTTCGCCATCAGAATGGCTGTGGCACTGGCTCTCGTCTGAGCCAGCATTTTCGCCTCTGACGAAGGCTGCTGGAAACATGGACACGGTCTTCGGCTTTGGCTCTGGAGATTGGGCTTTTCACTGGGTCGAAGAGATGGAGAAAGCCACCCAGAACCCGGGTGCCGTGGCATCCCAAGCTGCACCGGCGCAGGCTGCTTCGGATAGCAAGTGGCCACATTTTCCCAATGGCCATCGTTCCCTTGGACTGACTCCTGCAGATCTCGTCAGAGCGCACTCGTGGTTGGAAGAGGCGTCTTCCTTTAACGGTGCGGGTGGCTGGGAGGAGGATGATTGGCTTCGTTATTGGATGGAGCAGGACTCGGCTGTTGAGACCTTGCTTCGGCGTGCCAAGGAGGCCAACCATGGCTGGGACATTGGCCAGTGGCTTTGGCTTTGGGTGTCGCAGGCTGACCGACCCCAACCGCCGCCGGCGCCGCCTCTGGACACTACGCCGCCTTTGGCCACTGGCATGGGTTCGGATGCGTTCCCGCTTAGCCAAATCAACGAGACAGTTACCGTCACTCAGATTTGCTGCCGCTCTACATGTCAAGACTGCGGGGCTGGCCACTGCGGGGTCGTTCTTACGCGCGAAGATCTCCCCACCGGCACCGCTGTGGCATTTGCTACAAAGCTTTTAGGAGGGCACAGGGGCAAGCCTGACAAATGCCTAACCCAGCATTTGGCTTTTAGTTTCCCCTCCTCCATTTCAGCTTTGTCTGCTTTGGCAGGGGCAGTACACAGAGTGCTTTTGGCTTTGTCTCGCCGCATTTTCCCTCATAAGCTTTAAGCTTCTTGGGGGTGATTGGCATCTGAGCTTGCCAGCAAAAAATCAGAGTCTCAGTGCTTTTTCTGGCTTCCTTTGCCTTCTGTGTACAGCGCTATTTCTCATACATGCTCCCGCGCCCAGGTCTGGCTGTGGACGCTCCTCTATTTTCTCCAGGTGCATTTCTCGGAGTGATTCCCTTGTCCTTTCTGTGATGGGCTGGTAACCTGGCTTTAGGGTCTGTGCGTGCGTCAAGTGCTGCTCTTTTCCTTCCTCTCTTTTGAAAACATGAACATGCATGGCCCGCGCACACCCGTACTGTGCTTGTTTGCCAATGCTGCACTCGGGCTTGCACAGGTTCCATGGCCGACCCGGGGAGCGACAATGGGAGAGGCCTACTCGCACAGCCGACCCCCTCGGACACGCTGTCAGTGCTTTGGGAATCTCCAAACCTGGATTTCCCAGAAGCCGTTGCTTCCCTTTCGGAGTTGAACCACACCATTCGCAACTTTGGGTTCATGGCTACCTCCTTGGACCAGTTGGACCAGTGGTCGGAGTCGCATGGTCTTCTGGACTTTGGCCCCGTGACAGTTGCGGACCTTCGGTGTCTTTGGCACGGGGCGCTTTCCTTGGCCTGCTCTGAGGGATACATGGCGGTGGTGCCTTCCCCGCCGCACCCCTCCGCTCCTCCCTCGCCACAGGATCCTTCCCTCAGCACGGCTTCAGACCCCAGCCAGGCCGCGTCAGCTGCGGCATCATGGAACGAGCCTTTCCCGGCTAAGCTCTCCTCGGACAAAACGGCAGAGCCTCGGGCTGCTTTTCTGCGGACATATCCTAGCGAGGTCTTGGACGATTCCAGTACGCCTTCGGCTCGTCTCCTTGCTTTGGCTTTTAAACAAGCCTCGTCCCATCAGTGGTGCTTCATTCCTTGGCGCTGGCGCATGTCCGTGCATGAGCTGGAAGAACAGCAATTGCAGCGCCCTCGCAAGCTGGCCAGGACCGAGCTGGCAGATCTCGTTTGGGATGATGTCCCGCGTTTGCACAGTGTGGCCATGGCCAGGGTCACTGACGTGCACTTGGTGACGCTTAAGAAGTACGATTCCACCTTCCTGCGTTTTGCCTCGGCTCGCTTTGACAGCAGCATTGGCCTTCGCCCACCCAATGTACTGGAATGTGAGCAGGCAGACCGCCGCTTTTGGGAGGCCGTGTCCGCACTCCGTTTGCAGGGTTGGTCTTTGGATGACTGTATCCATGAGAACACAGCTGTCCGTAGCGAGCTGGCTTCTCTTTTGGCACCGCGTGTCTTTCTGCCCAAGGCCATGCTCCGTCTGGAGGGCAAGGGAGCAGGTGGACGCAAGGGCACTGGCCCCGTTGCTGGTTTTGGCAACGGACGCGGACGCGGCAAAGGCAGGGGGGATGGAAGCGGTCGTGGGAGTAGCCTTGGCACCGGTCGTGAGGGATCCGGTTTGGGCAACCAAGGCGACTCCGAAGGGGCCTCCGCAAACCGACAGGAGTGGGCATCCTGCGCAAAGATCAACGGAGAAGTCAAGACCCTTTGCATGCGCTGGAGTCAGCGCACAGGCTATAACAATCCGTCTTGCCACTTTGTGCATCTTTGTCCCGTGAAGGTTCCCAGTGGCAAGGTTTGTCTTGGCAACCGCCCGGCCTGGCAGCATACCGACACCCCGCATTGAGGGGGACCGGACCCATCTTTTGAGCAGGCAGCTGGGTCCGGTCTGCCTTTGTTCACGCCTGCCTTTTTGCCTTTGTCTTCCCAAGCTCTTCCGCTCCGGCAGCCGCTGCTTCGGCAAAGCAGGTTTCTGAACCTCCAACGCCCGATCTTCGTCACGAGGTGGCTTTGGCTGTGTCTGCCTCCGACACATTATCCTCCAGGGGCCTGCCACCCCAGCACACAAATCCCGAAGATGACACGTCGGACACGAACAGCTTCGAGCCAGAGCCAGCTCCTGCACCGGTCTCCGCGGAGTCCATGCCAGGGCTGTTTCCGCCTTCCTTCTCTCATATCACTCCTGTCCTACAGTCCGTCCGGGATTTTAAGCAACCCTTCTTCCTGGACATTTGCGCGGGAGCGGGCTCGCCGCTCAGCTCAGCTTTCGTGGAGAAGGGGGCGCCTTGTCTGTCAATAGACATTCTCATCGACGCAAACATAGATCCTCTCCAGGACGATTTCTTTGAATACTTGCTTCGCATTTGCACGTCCCACCAGGTGGCCCTTGCGCACGCTGCTCCCCTATACAGGGAATACTCTCGCCTGAAACTCCGTCCTAGAGGCCCAAAAGCACTTCGGACTCCTGCGTTCCTGGATGGCCTTCCTGACCTGTCGGCATCACAGGCGCTTAGAGTCCAGGAGAGCCACCTGATCTTTGTGCGTTGCGTTCGGCGCATGTCAGCTTTTCCTGCGGCGCGCAGGTCTTGCTAGAACAGCCTCCGAACAGCGTGGCTTGGGGGGAGCCGATTACAACAAACTTCTTGGCATCCATCAGCGCGGATCTGGTCCACGTGGCCGCTTGTTCCGTCGACCTTGACATGCGCAGAGCTTGGCTTATGGCTACTTCATTCAGGGCCTTTCAGGCTCTCGCCTCTACATGTCTACACACCCAGGGGACCCACGTGGCTTTGCAGTGTTTGTGTGATGAGGCCGGCAACTTCTGCAGTCGGGCATCTGCAGAGTACCCCCCCCCTCTAGCGGACATGTACGCTGAGCGAGCCCTGCCCCTCTTCGATGTGGAACAAGGGGTAGGCTGTGCCCTCTCTCTCGCCACGGTACCTCTGCTTGCCAAACTCAAGGCCCTTCATGAGGCTCCCGTGGCTTCGCAAGACCGGGCCGGCATCCTCTCCATGCCAGACTGGAGTGCACCACCTTCAGGAGCTACAGACGTCTTTGCACACCTTAGGCCCAAGCTGATGAATTTTCTCCTTCAGGGTCGTCTTTCTCAGCGTTTGCGCACTTTGGGTTTGGGAAGATCCGCGGAGGCTCTTTTCTCAAGCTCGGAAGTAGACGCCCCGCGTCGCCTGTTCCAGGACTGGCTCTCTGCACGTTTCCCTGGCATTTCCGTTTCCTGGGAAATATCCTCAGGACAACCATACTGCCCTCAGGCTCTGGCAGCTGTCCCAAGCATTTGTCAGGATCGAGACGTGTCCTTGTTCACCTGTCTTGAACAGGGGGTGCCCACTGGCTTTGATGGGAACATTCCGTTGTCCAATGTTTTCCTGCCACAAGAAGGGGGCCATCCCCTCGAGCAATCGCTTGGCATTTGTCATGGCAGTTGGTCGAGCGCTGAAGCGGACCTTCCGACCCGGCATGCCTTAGTAGACGAGGAGACCGCCAATGGCTGGTTCTTGGAGCTGGTTTCTTTGGAAGCGGCTCGAGAACGTTTTGGCGACAAGCTGGCCATTAAAAAGATGTCCATCGTCAAAGCTGAAGGCAAAAAGCTGCGCCTTGTGGTCGACTCCACTGTCTGTGGCACTGACCCCTCTTGCTCGATCCCCGAGACGTTCACACCCCCGGGTATTGACGATGTCAGGGATTCTTTCTCTTTGCGGTGTCACTCTGGTCTGTGCGCGGGGTTTGCGTTTGACATCAAATCAGCTCACAAAGTGGTCCGAGTTCGTGACTCTGATCAGGGACTTCTTGGGGTCTCCCTCCCCAAGATCCCAGGTCCTGGCCAACGCGGGCTTTCTTACCGCGTTTGTCCCTTTGGCGCAAACTCCCCGGCACTCGGGTTCCAGCGCCTTGGAAGCCTTTTCCTTCGCACGTTACACCTTTGGACAAGGCTTCGACGCGCCCTACTGGACCACGTGGACGACTTTGTGTTGTTTCAGGACCAGGAGGTCATTGGCCTTACAGCATGCATGACACTGGCCTTTTGTGCTCTGTTCAACGTACCGCCGTCCAACGCCAAGTTACAGCTTGGCATTTGTATCCACTGGATAGGCTGGCACTTTTCCTTTGGCTCTGGCACTTTCTCCATTCCGGGTGAAAAAGTCCAGAAGTTGAAGCGCCTGTTGCAGGAAGCCTTACAGGGTCGCCATGTTTCGAAACGAACCCTGGACAAGGTCATCAGGCTGCTGCAGTGGTTTTGCAAACTGTACAAGCTGTTTAAGCCCTGGTTGCAAACCCTGTACGCTGATGCGAACCGTCCATGGGCCACTAACTATAGCATTGACCCCGGCGATTGGCCCGGCTTGGCCATTTGCGTTAGTGAGGGGCTTGTCGTCATCTCCACGCCGCCGGACACAAGCATTCCGACAGGCGCCAAGCTCATTGAAGCCAGGCATTTGGCCCTGCAGTCCAAGAAAGACTTTGTAAAAATTCCCACCTCGAAACGTCTTTGGGTGAGAGTGACGGACCCCTCCACTACTCGCCGCAAGCTGTCGGTCTCCAGCCGTTAGAGTCTTCAGTTTTGGCTTAAGTGGTGCGAGGTTCCACCCCTTTTTCTTTCCTTTGCAGCAACCTGCGTACGTTCCCATCGTCTGCGCGGCTGTCGACGCACGCGCAGACGAGGATCTCGTCGGGATAGGGGGTTTTTATCGAGTGGCCTTCTCGCCAGATTTCGTGGGTCAGCCAGTCATGGCATGTGCCGGACCTCTCGTCACTAGGTGTGCCTTTGCAGGTGCCAGCCAGGACATCACGTGTTGCGAGACATTGGCACAGCTTGGCTTCATTCTTTGTCTCCGTTCCGTGGTGCCGTTGGCACGCTGGACCGCTCTTTTTCGCACGTTGTCCGACAACACAGGTGCAGAGGCAGGCATCGATAAGCTCTACAGCTCGGCCTTCCCTTTATCAGTGTTTCCGAAACGCCTGTCCGTGTTGGCGTGCATGACTGGCATTGAGCTTGCGTTTTTCCACATACCCGGCAAAAAGAACGACGGTGCAGACCTTCTCTCCCGCTAGAGTGATGAATCCCGGCCCATGCCAGCCAAGTTCCTTCCGGACTTTCGCGTGGACGGCAGCCTAACACGCATCTGGCACTTTCGGTCCGATGTGCGCCTTCGGCTTCCCGATGCAAAGCTCAAGTGGCTGCTGCCATAATCACTCTCCAGAGTGCTGATGTGAAAGCCTGGCATAGTCTGCGCTCACTTAGAAATGGGATTGGTAGGCCCGGCGAGCTTTGACTTTGCCAGTTCAAAAGTTGGTCATTCGCGCTTCGGCATTAGTAGCAACATCTGCTTTGCTTTGTACTTCGAACTCAGAGCGGCTTTCCCGGCAAAGTCAAAAAGAGAGAGGGCTCGTGGTACAGTGCTCGCTTTGGCTTAGGATTTCTAGTAGGCTTTACTCAGCTTTGGTAGTGTGGCTTGAACTTGCAGCGAACGGGTCATGTGTTTACTCATAGCTGTTTGCTGTTTGTGAAAGATCACCGTCCTTTGTTGCTTTTGGTTCAAGCCACACACCAAAACGTGCAGCTTTCAGTGCATCGCTAGCTAGCTTTACTTTTCACCCACCCACCACTCCCTCTTGGAAGACACGTTCTTTCCGAGTCGGGGCAGGTCGGACTCTCACACAGCTACGCCGTTTCACGCAGTTTCACAAGATGCGCGGTGATTTTCTTTTCCTCGTTTGGTATGCCTGTTGTACTTGGTAGCATCATCCGCTTTGCAAGTGGTCATTCGCGCTTCGGCATTAGTAGCAACATCTGCTTTGCTTTGTACTTCGAACTCAGAGCGGCTTTCCCGGCAAAGTCAAAAAGAGAGAGGGCTCGTGGTACAGTGCTCGCTTTGGCTTAGGATTTCTAGTAGGCTTTACTCAGCTTTGGTAGTGTGGCTTGAACTTGCAGCGAACGTCTGTGTGCCACATCAATATCCAAGAAATGAAAGTCGCAGTGAAGCAGCTTAAGAATGCCATTTCGCAGTCATCTGAAGGGCTCCGTCTGGTGAACCTCTGTGACTCGCGCGTCGTCTGCGCAGCGTGGGCCAAAGCTAAACTCCTGGCTTCGCAGGGTTCTTGCGCATAGCGTGGCTATCCCGCTGATTATCCCTCTCGTAATGCGCCTGTCCCTAAACCCCTCAGCCCCACGGCTGGCCTACGTGCCCTCCTGTCTGACGCAGAAATCCAGGCTATGCAGGCGTCGCCTTGCAAGCAGCGAGCTGACTCGCGTGGACATGATGAGGGCTTGTGTGAGTAAAGAGTGCTTGCTGCTGTAGTGTTAGCGTGCTGAGACATCGCGCTTCCTCACCTCATTTTTGAGTTCGGGTCGTGCAGCACTCATGCTCTACCGTAGCCAATTTCGGTCGTGAATTCGTAGTTGTTTTAATTCCGTTGCATTGAAACCATGACGTTGCGGGGCAGCCACTTGTCGACCGCCTACAGACGCCGCCTCTTCAAGGGTTATCGGCTCTTGCAAGAGTACCTGTCTCGTGCAAACAGCAACTTGCATCATCTTGCCAGGCGTCGAAAACTGCTTGATGCTTGTTTGGAAGGGTTCGTCAATTGGGCTTACAGCAAAAAAGGGCCTGCGTTCCTCAGTGTCGCAAAACATGGCCTTTTAGTGGTGCAGTTGCTTTATCCGCGCTGCCGCTAGCTTGGCAAACGTTGCTTGCGTGGGAAGAAGCCACTGAGGTCCGTGTCCGGCCGCCTCTCCCACTTTCGGTCCTAGCGGCTTTTGTGGTATTTGCCCGTGCGCAAGCTTGTGTCGCTGAAGCTGGGCATCACGAGTGGCTTCGTTTTGCAGTTGCACTGGAACTAGGGTTTTTTGGTTTGCTGCGACCGGGAGAGATCCTGCAGCTGCGTGCGTGCAGCATCTCTCTGCCAGATTCTTGGATTTTTGCACCTGTAGGCGTTGTGGTCCGCATAGAAGCGCCAAAGAATCGGCGACACATGAGCCGACATCAGTTTGTTCTCGTTGAGCATGCTCCCTGCTGCCATGCCTTGCAGAGCATCTTGCCGCATTTGCGCCCACAAGACCAGTTGTGGCCGTGGGGCCCGCGCCGCTTCCGGGCCATGTTCCGTCAGGTCTCGCAAACTTTAGGCGTCGAGGCTCAGGGCTTTTCACCAGCTTCTTTACGTGCTGGGGGTGCTTCCCACCTGCACGTTATGGGGATGGAAATTTCTAGGCTTAAGTTCCGGGGTCGCTGGGCCAGCGAGCGTACGTTAGGCCATTATGTGCAGCTTGCTCTCAGCCGACAGGTTCAGCTGACACTCTCGCCAGCGGCAAAGCGCAGAATCACCACACTCCTTCGTCACGGCAGCGACTTTTTGTTTTCCAGTTTTGGCTCAAGCGCCAGCAGGGCTTCCCCGCGCATTTGCTTACCGGCTTTGCTTTCTGCGTATGGATCGCTTGCTAGCGCTTCACATGGTTCGAAGAAAGTTCAACAGGGGCCGCACAGAGGAACCTTCTTCAGAGACCTGTCTTTTTTGCAACTTGAACGGTTTGCAAAGCGCTGCGCAGAACCAGAACTTCGGCTCTTCGCCCGTGCGGCAGTTGCTACTCGTGCGTTGGAGCCCGCCGATTTGCAGCCCTGTCGGCCCGTCCAGCCTTCGTTGTCTCCAGCGGCCGCTGCGCCTCATCCGGTGCTTAGCCGGCTTGAAGCCGTGTCTGCAGGCTTTCGCCACCTGAGGTCGCTTTTCGCAGAGGTTTCCAGTCTCAAGCTTTTCTTGTTGACAGTGTTGGTCGCTGTGCTGTCACGCCCGTCAGCGCATTTCCTTGTGGGCCGGTTCCTTGTACTCAGTTTTCGCTGGGCACTGCAACAAACTTTTGGTCTGCTTTTTCAGTGCTTGGATGCGCTTTTGCTCGAGTTTGTTCTCTGGTCGAGGGGTGTGCACGAGCCGCCCTCCGTGGGCTCTTTCATGGAAGCTTCTTGTCCTGCGTGCCTGGGTTTGGGCCCATTCGGCCAGGTTCTTCTAAGCACATTCTCGGTGTTCCTCGGCGCGCTGCTCACTCACTTGAATCAGCGCTTTCAACTGCCAAACCGTGCCGGAAGGCCGGTTTTGCGTTTGTGACTGGCCCGCCGCCGGCCCCTTCGCCTCCGCTGCTTGTGAGGGGTGGGTGGCATTCGTGTGTGCATCTGCCATGCATTCGTGGCACTGCACTTGCTGTGCAGCCGAGTATGTGCAAGTATGAGCATCTGCCATGCATCTGCGTGACCGGGCTTCTTGCCAATCTGTGTCAATCGCCTGTCAAGCACAGACCGACGGTCGTCATGACTTTCAGTTGCATCTTTTTAGGTTTCACTGTCGTAAGCAGCAATCGGCTTCAGCCTTGCTTGCTCAGAGAACACTCCATGGCCCGAGTTGCATGTCGCAAAAAGCGAGGGCGGCTGTTTGCTCTCATTGCTTAGTCTGTTCAGCGATGACAGCAGTTGAGAAGTAGGACATAGCATCCAAATGTCCGGACGCCGAAACTCAGGCTCTGTTCCAAGCTGAGCCGCCACCTCCCCTCCGCTCTGCCTCTGCTTGCATTCCTGTGCCTGCACTTCCTGTGCATTCGTGTGTGCATCTGCCATGCATTCGTGTGTGCATCTGCCATGCATTCGTGGCTCTGCGCTTGCTGTGCAGCCGAGTATGTGCAAGTATGAGCATCTGCCATGCATCTGCGTGACCGGGCTTCTTGCCAATCTGTGTCAATCGCCTGTCAAGCACAGACCGACGGTCGTCATGACTTTCAGTTGCATCTTTTTAGGTTTCACTGTCGTAAGCAGCAATCGGCTTCAGCCTTGCTTGCTCAGAGAACACTCCATGGCCCGAGTTGCATGTCGCAAAAAGCGAGGGCGGCTGTTTGCTCTCATTGCTTAGTCTGTTCAGCGATGACAGCAGTTGAGAAGTAGGACATGGTGTTGTTCGTCTTTCTTGTTCTAATTGCTTCTCACGGCGATCTGTTTCACACCTAGTTGCGAGACCCACAAGAACGGCCTACTGTGCTACTGATGTAGTAAAGAGGCGCCCGCTTAAAAAAAAAACACAAACAACCAATCTTCGATTTCAGCACGGAGGAGGCGTCCCGGATGTTCAAGGCTGTGTGCCAGGCGCTGGGATACGTGGAGCTGGGCGTGGAGAAATCAGATGAGGCACGGCTCTGCTTCAACGGGGACGCTCGATGAGATCATGAAGCGGGGAAGGTGGCAGACCAATGGATCCGTCCGTCGGTACATCAACGGCGGGAGGCTTCCAGAGGTCTTCGCGCGGCTGAGCGGCGGTCAGCGCGAGCATTGCCTGCAGGTCGAAAGCGAGATTGGAGGGATCCTGCAGGGCTCAAAGCCTCCCGTCAAGCCAAGCCTGTCGTCCTAGACTTGTTCTCTGGCTCGGGGAGAATGGCCCGCGCGCTCCGATTGGAGTTCAAGGTTGGGCGTATGTGTATGAAGTTGACATCCGCCATGGTGTGCAATATGATCTTGCTTCTCGAGGCTTTCAGTGTTTCATTCGACGCCTGCTCCTGAGCGGTAGGGTGGTTGCTGTTTGGTTAGGAACCCCTTGCAAAACTTGGAGTCGCGCAAGATGCATTGATGGCTGCAGCTCCGGCCCTCTTCGCAGATGAATGTGTCATGGGTCTGCCGAACTTGAGTGAGAGCGATGCAGCAAAAGTCGACTTGGAGAATGTTCTGATGAGATTTTCTGCAGGGATTGCTGAGATCTGCCTTCGTAGGCGCATCCCCTTTTGCATCAAGAGCCCTTGGTCTTCGCGCATCTGGATGACAAAGCAATTTCAATCCTTGCAGAAGTCCTCACATGTGCATTTTGGATACACCGATTTTTGTGGGGATGGGACTCTGTGGCGTAAGCGAACGGGTCTTCTTCACGGATTTGTTGACCTCGGAAGTTGTTGTAAGCGCTGCAACACTCGTGGTGGTATCTGTTCCTTTTCTGGAAAGCGACATGCTCAACAAATGGGGCAATGTCAGGGCGTCTTCCTCACACGTGCCGCCGAGCCCTACCCGCAGAAGCTGTGCAGGCGCGTCGCCAAGGCCTTTGTTGCTTCAGTGCTCTCACGTTGGTGCTCCAACTTGTGGGAACGCTTGTCCTGACCTTACCAGATAAGTATGCGGTGTCTCCGTGGCCAGCATAACATTTTGGGGTGTCTCCGTGGTCCAAGACTGTCTGGGGCACTCCGTGGATGCTTGAAGCTATTCGTGATATAGATGTAATGCCTGGCCTCGGAAGAAGAAATGAGCGGATCATAACATCTGATCTCAGTCCTTTGAGTAGCTTTTGACTGAAGTGGGCCGCGCTCTGTGCTCAAGTCTCCCACCCTGTCCCAGCCCTTCATACTCGGGGTGTCTCCGTGGTCCAAGACTGCCTGGGGCACTCCGTGGATGCTTGAAGCTATCCGTGATATAGATGTAATACCTGGCCTCGGAAGAAGAAATGAGCGGATCAGTTCCGTGGTTACAGTGCAGGTCCGCGTCTCATTATCACGAATCAGCGAAGGGGGGGGTAGTGATAGCCGTTGAGTGTTAAAACTATGTACATATCGTCCCCTGACACTACCTCTGCTCTTGCGTGGCTTCATGGTTTATTCTCCTTGAGTGCAGTTCTCGAAAAAATTATGTGACCGCTGCGTTTCTTGTTGGAGTTCTGTTTCTTGCCTGGAGCTTGTTCTTGCCCTTTTGCACGTCGCACACAGTCATCTGACAGTTAGGACAGGAGCGGCAGTACGCGGACAAGCAAAACAAAATTGACGCTTCTGTCATCCCGCGTGTCCTTCGCTTTTTCCTGCTTTCCGGACCCTGAAAAATGGGACTGTTTTCGAGGCCGTGTGAAAGGTGGAGTGCGTTGCCTGAGGCCCAGGAACCTGAAGCTTGTGGCCGGAAGGCGTGAGTGAAGTTCCTGGCCCGAAGCCTGAAGCTTTTCAGCTTTTCTAGCCTGTAGCCTGAAGCCATGGGAGCTTGAAGTTTTTAGCAGGGCTAGCTATCATCTAGATTGAGAAAAGCACATGTCCTTACACACCACTCCAAATTGTAAAAAATCAAAGTATGAAAGTTCGTTTTTTGAAAGTACCGTAGCGAAGGAATTCCGTTTTTCCTGCTTTCCTGGCTTGAGCCCAGGACGTTCTGCTTATGGCCGAGGCCGAAGCGAATCTTCATATGTTGGCGCTTGCCTCTGCCCCCATTTTTGCTGAATTCCGGGCCATTGTTGTTTTTTGAACATGTTTTCCATTTTGCCGTTTAAGTTCTCTCCATTCTGTTGTGCGACGTCTTGTGAACCGGCGCACGGTTGCAAATGAGCTGCGAATCCTGCAGCCAAAGATGGCAAAAGGACTGCTACTAACTCTGCATGCCCTGAGGGCAAGTTGCAAAGTTGAAGGCACGGCACCGTGAAACTGTGACATGCCCAGAGCTTTAGGTTCGAAGGACAGGGATTGGCAGCACTTCAGAAACTCTCAGGGCTGGAAGTCGCGTTCTTCGCGTTCTTCGCGTTCTTCGCTTCCGGCTCTTGAGATGGCATCTTGTCTTATCCTGTCTTGCTGGCCTCCGTGAGCAAAGCTGTTAAAAGCTTTGCGCACGTTCATGCGGAGCGTGCATGCAGTGAGCACATTGCGAAGACTGCGAAGACCAACACTGAGGCCAAAGCTGCCAAGACTGGGACCTGTCGAATTGGAGATGAGCTCTCAGCTTTCTGCGGTGTCCAGCTGTGTGAGCTTTCTGCACTTTCGTCCTCAGCTGGGCTGTCTAGGTTGCGATCCTGGTGGCGCTCTGCTTCCGTCAGGTAAGCCGCTGCCAGAAATCCTTGTGGCGGTTAATGGTATTGGAATCGCCAATGGGAGAAAGTGACAGAATGTGGGACAGTGGGACTGGGAGAGGTGCTGGCCTTTGTGGGCCCTCACCTTCCTCGGACTCCGCTTTCACAGCTGTCCCTTGTAGCACCCGCTGCAGCTGACTTAGAGCACAGCACCTGTCAGCTAGCTCTGAGCCTCTTTTGACATTCGCGAGGTGCTGAGCATTACGCTGCCAGCTGCCGCAGCGAGCGATGGAGGGCTAGGGTAAGCTGGAGATCATGCAACTGTTGTTGCGGTGCTTTTTTTATAAGCGCCAGCTTCGTGCAGGTTCCAGGCTATCATGTTCGCTCCTGTGATTAGTCTGTTTGCTATCGTGGGCGTTGCCATGGTCTGCTTCCCAAACGACTTCTTGCGGTGCGCTGGCAGCGTGTGCAATCGTGTGCATGTGCTCTTCTTCCATGTGCTGCCTAAGGTTGGAGGTTACGTGCTTGGCATCTTTGTGCCGCCAGGGGAAGGTGCAATGCCGAGATTGAAAGGGTGTATTTGGCTTAGATTTTATGTAGCAAGAGCTATAACATAGCAGCCGACGAGACCTCCGACATTGCCAATAGCTCCTGGGATCAACCTCGCACTTTTGCTGCTTCCGCGCCTGCGAGGAATCGAGAAGAGCGTTATAGTAGAGAACTACATGTGTGAGATATAATGTTGCCAGTGTGACCTGCAGCATTCGAGATCACAAGAAAGGAACAATCAGGTCATCAGGGATAATTATCCCAGATACCTCAATCTACCGGCTGGCTGGTCTGTATAGTTTGCAGGTCGGCGGAGCTCAGGGTTTTTTCCCAAACGAGGTTTTTCCCTGAGCTTGCTTGCTTGAGTCTTGCGGCACAAGTCCACGAAGGCAACTCCCTCAGTCCCACAGCATAAACAGGCCCCAAAGTGTAGGTGCATTGGTGCATAGGAAAGTTGTGGACTCTGAGGTTCGATGTGGTGCTGTGCTCGTGCAACCCTGGAAATCGCCTTTCATTCTCATCAATAGCACGAAATCTAAGCGGGCTGTCGCCCGCGTGAAGCAACCACAAGAGCTCTGCTCTGCGGGTTTTCAAGGCGTGTTTACTTCCTTGAAGCTTGCAAAAAAGTATCCTCCTCACCCCAAGCCGGTGCGGCTCATGCTGCTGATGCTCGCCACGGGAATCGTAACAGAGAAACAAAGCCTCGATGATGCACACCCTTGCGCCCCCCTCCCAAGCCGCACATCATGGCTCCGGCCCCGATGCTTCGGTGGCTTGTAGGCGCTCGGAGCAGCTTCAACACGGGAATGTCCAGAACCGCACGAAGACTCGCCAGACCTCGCCTATACCCCGGCCATCCTAACCCAAAGCAACCACCTAAACCCATCACCTTAGTCCATTCTATCACCCAAATCATAAACTGGGAAATCTCATCGAAAACCACCCATATGACCATAATTCTAGACTGCAAAATGATGGGTGAGTAGGAACTTACCCAAGCCTTGTGACCGTTACATCGAATTTTACCAAAGCTAATTTGTAAATGCTATTTCTGTACATCCGTTCATGATTGTAAAAAGTGTTGCCATTCCGTTGGTTCCTTTATCTATTGTCCTCGCACCCACAACTTCCACAAACATTTTCCCATGCCATACATAAACCATCTTCAATAAATGGCACACCAGTTATGGCGTGCATGACTTCGTTCTTTGTCAAGTCCATTCTGGAACGCTACATGCGTAGATTGTACAACACCTGTCGACGTATAGATGGCGCAGGGGTGTTCCTTCGTAGCCTTCCCTCTTGACCAACATGTTGCAGAATACGCAATTTTGATATACGCAACCTCATCACAGCTCAGAGTATTGTCAACAATTTGGCCTAAAGGCGTAGGTATAAACAACGCTAAGGGCAGACAAGCAGACAAGAGAGAGATAGCTCCTGTGGTGTGTAAGTACAAAGGGGTTGACCAAAATATACAAGCATGCTAACATATTCAAAGGTGATTACGGCGACTTCGAGACCACTTTAGCAGAACGAGAGGCAGTCTGTACAGTCTGGGTGCTTTATGCTGATGTGGGCGGCGGCGCATTCTGACCCGGTTTCGCAGGACAGTGCAATCGGCAGAAGACACGTGTTGCGAGGCCCGGGAACGCGGTTGGCGCCGTGATGTGTTGCGGGGCTATGACGAGGAGACTTACGCAGCCGGAATCGCAGATTGTCGGTGCAGTTGTTGTTTCATCTTGTTAGGGTCTCAATTGTTCTTTCTTCCTTGCGTTCGCAGTACAAATCTGTGTTTCGGACCCCACAGGCCATGAGGGGCATGGGCAAGGAGTGGGCGAAGGCAGGCTCTCTGGGTCAGCTGTTTTTTTTAACCAGCCGGCCGGCCCTTTCGTAAAGGTGGAATATCCCTTCCGCAAGCAGCCGCGTCCAGAGTCAGCGCCCTGGGAAAATTCAGGGAATGTGTCCGAGACCTGGAGGAAACTGTGCAACACGGCAAAGAATAGCGTTGTGAGACAGAGAGTCTCAGAGAGTAAGGGGGGAGAGCAGGGTGCACCTTAAGGGTACCTTGAGTTTGCGGACAGACACAACATGACGACTAATTACTAATTACTTTCGAACAATCGCCTCCACCCTTGACAATGTTGAGCTATGTTTGAACTTCTCGGCTCTGCGAAGTGCAACGGAGCAGTGCGTGGAAAATTTGTATGCGCACCAGTGTGCACCAAGCTTTTCGAGGTGAGGTGTCTGATGAAGTATGGCTGACACAGTTAAATGCTGAGAGATGTGAGAGATGTGAAAGATGTGAGAGATGAGACCGGCAGGGCTCCTCAGTTTGACTTTGGACTGAGGCCAGAGGAGCTGCCACGCCTTCCAGGCGTTGCCGGAGCAAAAGTGTTTTAACAAGCGGAGATGGGTTGTGCTTAGTCGGCTTGATCTTGAAATATCTTGAAAGAACCCCCCGTCGAGGTGTCGCAGCTTTGGCCTTAAGTCCGAGGGAGTGACGTTAGAGACCTGCTTGCGGTGCTTGCGGGGGGATGGATGTTCCGCGTGTTGGCCAATCCTCGCGGGCATGGCCCGATGCAGAGGCGACGGTCTAGTTCAAGGGTGGCCTTGTGGGAGCCACATCGAATTTACCCGAGGATGGCACGCTTGCCCTATGCCAGTTTACTTGGGCCATCTTGGGCCTAGTTGTTGCTGTGTGCGACGGCATTCGAGCCACAACTGGGCCCTGCCCTCGGAACCTTGATTCCGGGCCGTTCGCTGTTCGCTAGAGTGAACTCCAAGTGGACGGGGGCACGCTTGCGTTGCCTTAGGCAAGGCCGGACCGTGTGCAACTCCCCGCTCACTTACCCACTCACTCACTCATCTTGACAAAGAAATATGGAAGTGTTGTAGTTCCGCGCCCCCCCCCCGCGCTCGTGCGGGGGACTGCCCCGCACTGGCCCGGACTCCTTCTTCCGCAGTTCGCGGCGAGGCCTTCGCACAGGCGAGTTCCACATCTGCTGCTCCCTCGTTACCGTCAATACCGCGGTACTCGAGTTCCCCTCAGAGCGACAGTAGTGGAGGACTGTCCCCAAGTGTTGGGCATTGGCGTATGTGCCTTTGGTACTCGACTTCAGCGCGTGCCAATTCCGTTGTACGCGAGTTCCGCCCTTGCAAAACCTCGCAAATTCTGCGGTGCAGGGGGGGCCGTGTGTGGCCTCCCGAACCTTCTTGATTCTGGTGGTGACAAGCATTGATCAATGCTTCGACTTCAATCGCTGGCATGCATCGTGCCATCGTCCGTGCTTTGAGCGTTCAAGTTCAAACTGTTGATAGAGTGTCTTTCTGATCCCAAAGAAAGCTCCTTTGATGCTCTGATCGATGGTCCTCTTTAAGGTTAATTCCTGAAAAGCTGTGTCAATGAAATACATTTCAGACGGCGTTTGTCCTTCCTTGGACCGATCCCGCACAAACCTGCGTCTCGTGTCGCCGACCAGGATCACACTTCTTTCCGAACTGCTGGACTGCTGGTCACTACGAGTCACTACGGCTCCTTTCTCGGCACTATAATCATCCTTTAATGGTTTGATATGGTCCGCTCGACTGTGTGGTGCCAGTGTTGGCTTGCTCAAGAGCAATCATCTGAGCCCAATCCCTGTCACTTGTCCGAGGGTCCCTTTCCTCATGAGGTCGGCACATGTCGGCACTAACATGATCGTTCTGGCCTCCTTGGGTTTTCAAGGTGTGCTATTGTTGCAAATTGGCAGCGGCCAGCTCAGGACAAACCCTCACCCCCGTGTCGCTGGAAGAAGCACAAAGCTGGATGCAGGAAGAGCTTCCGTGTTGTTCCACGGCGGCAGGTTGCTCGATCCTGAGGACAGGCCCGGCGCAAGCTTTCGGGATCATAAGAACTGAACTGGGCCAGCAGAAGCGCGCCGACGATCAGGAGGAGATTTCCCGAGATAGAAAAACTTAGAACTTCCCACCGCAGAAGTGCGCAGAAGTGGAGAAGATCTGCAACCAGACCAATTGCCTGTACAGCGTCGACGTAAACTTTTGCACCAAGAGCCGTGAAGAAGTGGCGGAACTTAGGACCCGCAGCTTTCATCAAGAACAGCTTGAGATGATGTGCTGGACAGATGCAGGCTGGGCCCAACAGGCCCAACAGGCCCAACAGGCCCAACCATGCATCTTTGGATGTCTGGCGTGTCTCCAATTTGTTGGCGTTCAAAACAGACCGGGTGTGCAGGTCACCAGCACAGACATCATGACATTAGTAGATGGTGATGACTATTTGACATGTTTGAGAGTCCTTGTGGAGAGATGCCCGAGATGAGTGAAGATGCCTTTGGATGGTCGACATTCTCAAGAATGTGCCATTCAAACCACAGGTCGCCTCGCGACAAATGGCAAGTTTGTATGCCCCCTCACTGTCAAAGGTAACGAGAAGTGAGCAAACCTCGCTACGACAAGGCCATGCAAAGTGCCAAGATTCGGAAGAAATATGATTGGACGTCTGTGAGGAAAGCAGCACTGGCCCAGAGGGTTGGAACGCCGATTGGGTTGTACACGCTGAGTTTTTTGTAACGCAAAAGCAAGCATGAAAAAGAAACCATGAAGTTTCGTGATGTCAACTTGCACTAAGTTCGGCTTGTGACACCTGCAGGCTACATGCTGTGCATGTGCCACAACTTGGATTTAATTTACATTTTTCATGCGCCCGATAAACGAAGGGACTTTTTGTTTCTGTTGACCCGGCCCAAAACCTCGCCCTCACTGGTGCAGTGAGCCTAGAAAAAAGCAGGGGGGGGCAGCAGCCCAGCTCCTTCTATGCTGCCAGAGGAAGCTGCGAGAGATGAGGTGGAAGCCTTGGGAGACGTCCCAGGGTGTACCTACACGTGACGTGTGGAATGTGATGGGATTGACCGGCGTGTCTCTCTGTGTGTGTGTGTGTTAGTTAAGCTTAGACTTTAAACCCCATATTCAACCCCATATTCGTCGAGTGAGTTGTCCCGGGACCGTCGACCCGCTGCGCCCCGGGCCCTCGCACTGTCTTTCCATATGTGGGGCTCGTCGTTTTGCTGGACTTAGACGCGCGAGGGCGTTCCGCACACCGCCTTCAGTGTCATCAAAGGCTCAGTCTTAGGTTGTTGTTCCGCCCTCAGAGCGAAATGTTATCTGTCCTCCACCGACATAGAGGTTTTTTGAACAGTTCTGGTTTCTGGTCGTTGACTTGTACTTCCTTGAAGTGCGCAGGCCGGGCGCCGGGGCCAGGAAGCACCGGGCCGTCGCCTGGAGCGCCGCCTGGAGCGCCGGGGGCGCCGCCGGGGGCGCCGCCGGGGGCGCCGCCGGGGGCGCCGCCCGGGGCGCCCCCCGGGGCGCCGCCAGGAGTGGGTCCCATCCGGCACAGCAAACTGGCCCCATTGTCACTGACACTTTGCCCCAAGAACGAGATGCGAAGATGCCTCCTGTATTGCGATGCAGGAAGCTGAAGACCGACTTGAGCGAATCGCGCTTTGCTGCTGAGATTATTTGGTCTGGAGCTAGAAATGCCCCTGAACCAATTGCAAGTTGCAAGTACATACCTGGCAGCTGGCAAGGTGCCGCATCCCTGTGTGCCATATCCATTGTTCATAAAAACAAGTGTTGTTCGCTTTGCGACTTGGCGTTGACGCAAATTTGCATGACCCTGAATGTTGCCTTTCAGTCCCTCTATGATCTGCTCAAGCTCGCTGGTCATCATCTCGAACTCGAAGCCTACCTTGCTCAAGGAGGCATAGGAGGATCAGCTGAAACGAGAGTTGCAGGAGGTGCAGGGAAGCGCCGCGGAGGCACAAGGCCGGGACCCTCCACCCTGCGAGTTCAAGATTCGAATCTTGAGGATGGGGAGTGCGCTGGCCACGGACACCATCCCGGTCCTTGTGACCATGGCTGGGATCCAAACCTGTTTTCCCTGCCCTGTACCCATATGTACCCTGCGCCCTACTTCTGCCATTCCCGTCTCGTGTCCCGTGTCCTTTCGCTAGTTCTGTTGTCAAGGTGGACGTCCACAATGCCAAGGCGCAGGACAAGAGCAGAGCTTGAGTGAAAGCCTCAACGGCGTAAAGGTTGTAACGGCTTCCGAACATTCCCTGGACAGGACATGTTCTACTTCTGCAATGTTGGGAGTGGCGCCTAAGATGAAGCTGAAATTTTTGCTCAAGCACCCCAAGCACTCCAAGCACTCACAAAAGGCTCACACAAAAATCTCACGCAGACGCCACACATCTGCACACGCACACACACAGAGACACAAACACCCACACCCATCTGACCCACTCGGAGAGGAGAGAAGCGAGCGAGACCAGAGAGCGGGTCCGAGACGCGTCGACGACGGTTTGTTTTTTTTTTGAGAGAGAGAGAGAGAGAGAGAGAGAGAGAGACGGATCTCGAGGCGGGGCCGCCACGAAGGTCATTGGGCGCTCGCAAACTTTAAGTGTGGAGGTTGGGATCACGACCGCCGCTTGGCTCAGATGAAGTTCAAAGGAAGCAAAGGAATCACGGGGGCCGAATCAGGCCGCATAAGGCAAAAGACTGAGATTCCAAAAAACTGCGGCACTGCCTCGGCCCGTGAGCCGGATTTTTTTAGGCGGTGCTCCGGGAAGATTCAGGGTTCAGGGTATTCTCGCCGCCTCCCTGGAAAATCACAAGTTGGGCTCTCTCTCTCTCTCTCTCTCTCTCTCTCTGGTGAGGTCTTGACCTTGATTGTCTATGAGTGCCCCGAACCTGCGCGGTGCCAAGAGTGCAAAAGAATCCTTGGCATAGCAACGGTGGGCTCGGCTTGCCAGTGCTGCCAGTGTCCAGTGCTCCAATTGCGTGTGTCTGAGTTTGAGTCGGATTTGCCTTTCTCTTCCCAGTTTGATTAAGTGGCTGAGTGGCACCTGGATCTGCGGTGAGGTCTTCACGCCCGAGACGGCGCGTTGCCTTGGGGTGCCTTTCAGTGACGCGCAGACAATGCTTCCTGCAGCTTCTTGCAGTTTGCAGCCACGAGTCACGAGGTGCTTCGCGTGCCTGTAGAACGTTTGGCTGAACGTTACAGCTCAGGCTCCTTCTCGTGCTCACACCATATTTTGGTACATCGCAGCAATGGAGGTATCTTCCAGCAGTGGTTCAACCTAGACACCAAGATGCAGCCTCAGACGTCTCTAACAGAGTTTCTCCTGAAGAGAGCAGGACAGAGACGAGCACACTAGGACTGACCCTCGAATGCCGGCCGGCGACCTCCAATCGCTGGTCACCAAGTTTGAGCAGGCCATGCCGGTCGGCGCATTACAGGGTGCTCTTGTGGGAGGGGCCCACCGCTTGGAATTTCTGCAAGTTTGGGGGGGTGGGCGGGGGGGACAGAAAGCAGAGTTTTTTTGGGGTGGGGTGGGGGGGTGGAGAGGAAGGGAAGGGGGTTTTGCAGAACCTCTGACGCACAACGACCGAGGCGATGTGGGTTGTTCTTTCTCCATTCTTTTTCCGTTTTGGAGGCTTACGCGGACTCCGTGAATGACATTTACCAGAGCAGCCCCTCAGAGCCTGGGTTGTCCTTAACAATTTCAGCAACAGCTGTGGGGTTTCAAGTCACAGTGAACTCTGCAGTCCCAGGCCCAAGGTTTGCCTGTCCGTGATTGGCTCCTCATTTGAGGCAGTCGGAGCCGAGTCCAACTCCGCGGTTTAGACTGTGAACTTCGAGTCTGAGCAAGAAAGCTGTGTTCTGTTTTGTTCAGGTGCAGCAGGGTTCAAGGTCCACGTTCGGAATCTTCGTCGGCGAGGTGTTCTAAGCTGAAGAGAGGGCAGTCGCCTGATTACGATGAACTTGTGCAGGATGTCAAGACTCAAGCAGGCAGGTAGAGCATGGAATTGGTTTTGAGATCCTTATAAGCTCTACAATCTCTCACAGTAGCTTTCACACATGTTCATGATTGCCTTGTCAGGCCCAGATCTGAAGGTGCCTCGGTGAGTCTCACGTTTGACGCGTTTGACACGTTTGACACGTTTGACACGTTTGACACGTTTGACACGTTTGACCTTGTTGGGTGACGGCGGGAGGCACTCATTGCTTCCCACAAACAGACCTTCGCCTGCAGAAAGCGGAAGAGCTGGGGCTGGTTTGTGGGTTTGGCGAGCAGCTTGGCTTTTTTTTTTTGGTACTTAGGCAGGCCGCCTACATCGATGCGCTGCACGAGGAGCTCCGCCGCCTGAATACCCCGTCCGGCCCCCCGATATGAAGTAGGACCTGTGCTCCCCCGCTTTGGTGTGGGTGCGGGTTTGGAATTTAGAGTTGAAGGTGAAGAATTACCGGTGTGAACCACCAGCAGCTGAGAAACCATGTATATTGCAAGATCTCCTGCTTCGAAGAATCCTACCATGGCTTACATAAACGCGGAGATTTTGCACGCAGGCAACCAAGAAGTCGATCCTGTTTGTGGTGCTTGCTAAAGCGGTTTGGGGGTTGGTCAAACACGCTGTCCAGCCGGGTTTTCTTTCTTATTCCCCAACGAGGTCCTTTTTCTCAGAAGAAAGGGGAATGGGTTGGATGGGTGGAACGCGGCTCCGCAGCGGGACTCCGGTGTTTCCACGCTTCCGGCAGCTTTTCCCACGGGCCTATTTTTTCCACTCCTCCGGGCCTTTCTTCCACACATCCAGGCCTGTTTCGTTACAGAAACCGCGCTGTACAGTAAGCGCTTCGTGGATTTTTGCGAACACTGTTGTGGAACTTGGCCTTTTGACGCCACCCCGGTAGATTCTCCAATAGTTGCTGCGTGACTGCCGCATACTTGGACAATGGACCTCTCCAATAGCATCGGCCGCGACTGCTCGTCAATTGCAACGCACGCGAACGGTTCAGCATGCAAAGTGTGCTTACCAGCTGCAAGCCGCGCATCGGTCTACCAGCAGTAGAGTCAGTGTGCCCTTTTGTCGACTGGCTCCCCGACTGCACTGCGCGCGACGTGGAACTGTTCAAGGCAGTTGACTGCAATCAGATCAGAAAGAACGCCCTGGCTGGCAAGCAATAAAGGGTCGCGCTATGCAGACGTGGTGCAGCCTGTGGCAGATCCCCACAGTCCTGAGCCCGCTGGTTGGCAGCGGCAACTGAAGTGGTTCAGACTCTTCGCTCTCGGCGCACTGGATGAAGTGGCTTAACGCGGTGATGGGTGCAGTGCAGTTGCGATCGCTCCGCGGCTCATGCCCTGGATGGCAGTCTGCAGTGCAGTCGTTGGCCAACACCGCCAGGTCGCCAGTCTGACGGGCAGTGTCACACTGTCCGTGCATCAGTTCGCCCAAGTGACAGAGAGCTCCGACCACCCAGTGCTGCCGATAGCCTGTTGGCAGTTGCGATGTTATTGGTCAGATCGCAAATCAGTTGCATCGGACTCCACCACTTGAGCTCAGCTGTGAGTGGGTAATCGATGGTGTGGAAACAAGCTACCTGCTGACTGCCATTTGGCACTGGCCCCTGAATGGTTCGTTGGGCCACGGTTGGCATCATTGTTCACTGGTCTTGGTGATTGTGACTGCAACTTTGCAGCCGAAGTGAGACCGAACTGGAGAGCGCATAGGCCATGCTGCAAGCATTGCCGAGAGTGAAAGAGCCACTGTCCTTGGCTGCGTACCGCGTGTGGTGATTGTTTTGTGTGACTGTTGTTTTGACTGCTGCGCAAGGGTGGTTGCGAAAATCCAACTCCAGGGAAAGGGTGTCAGAGAGCATTCCCCCAGCACTGATCCCATAAGCCCTGTGCACAAGTGCTGCGTGCCACGACTGAAGTTACGACTCACGTGCTCCAAGTGTACGAGTTCCATCTTTTTCATGGGGTGGCAAATGTGTCTTCCACTATAGGTTAGAGCCCGGAACAAAAACACCGCACGTCTGCAATCTTTGAGGTCCTATCGGCCTCTTGCAGCGAGCATGGCACAGCTTGACGCTGATTCAAAGGGCAGTTTGAACCATGTTTACCATGGTTGTGCTTTTTGATGGTGTGCCTGGTGTGAGGCCGATCGGACCTGCAGCTGCTTGCAGCTGAGTTGGGCAACCGGGGAAGGGGCAGGGCAAGCCTGAACGGGCGGAGAGAGCGGGAGAGCGGGAGAGCGGGAGAGAGGGAGAGAGGGAGAGAGGGAGAGAGGGAGAGAGGGAGAGAGGGAGAGAGGGAGAGAGGGAGAGAGGGAGAGAGGGAGAGAGGGAGAGAGAGGGAGAGAGGAGAGAGGGAGAGAGGGAAGAGAGGGAGAGAGGGAGAGAGGGAGAGAGGGAGAGAGGGAGAGAGGGAGAGAGGGAGAGAGGGAGAGAGGGAGAGAGGGAGAGAGGGAGAGAGGGGCAGAGCTGTTCATTTTTTCTCTCTATTTCTCTCTCTCTCTCTATATCTCTTTCTCGCTTTATCGTCAGATTTTGTGCCCCTTGTGCTCAGCCTGGCTCCTTCGCATTGCCGAAAGCCTGGAACCCAGCTTTCCGAGACCTTTGTTCACACACCGGCGTTTTTTGTGCAATGAGGTTTTTTGTTTCTTCGTTTGGGTTGTTTTGAGGGTTTTGAGGGTTTTGAGGGTTTTGGGGGTGTTGAGGAGCCTTTTTGGGGATGTTGAGCGGTGTTGCGGCTCCGAGTCTCGCAGAGGCACCCCAGGCACCTGGTTATGGTGCCTTCAGTGCGCCAAGAGCCCAGCGTTGCTGAGACATGAACCTAAGCCAAGCGGTGCAATTGACATTGCGACGAACATTACCTAGCTGTAACTTAACATCCGGATTGATCCGCGCTTTTTTGAGTCATGATTCTTGTGTGTCACGATAGGTTCGGATTGTAGGATATGGCGTTGATGAATTGGGTGTTTACATGTGCAGAAGAGATTTGTGGCGATGCTGTGGTCCGAGAATGGGCCAAATTGAAAACGACAAAAGTAAACTAAGCAAAGGCTTCTCTTGAAGCTTGTGCGGCTTGTGGAGCCTTGGTGCGTGGACGAGCTACTCCCCCGTAACGGGAGAGCGGCTCCTCTGCCTGTGTTCGCAGAGGGGAGCCTGGGTTAGGCCTGGCCTGCGCAGGCCCTCCTGTGCCGTTCCCTTCCTTGGACCCGCGGTCGGGTGGTGCCCCAGATGGGGTCCTCCGCGCGGACCAGGAGGGCTCTCATGGCACGTCCACGGACAAAGGCTGTGAGAGTGAGCCATGGAGAGTTGCTCGAGCATGCTCGAGCATTATGGAGCATTATGGAGAATCGAAGCAGTTTAACGTCGGGACGGCTGTGTGAACTTCAGGAGATATCCAGCTTTTTTGGCTGCTTCTTGCAACCCCCGCGGAGATATCCTCTGCCCTAGCATTTCTACAGGTTGCTGTTCTTGCTGGAAGGCCACTGGAGCAGCAACCCGAAGCAAAATTTCTGTGTGAATGTTTGATTGTGTGTGTTTGTTTGTCCGTGTGTGAGCGTAAGTTTTGAAGCCAAGAAGTAAAACAATTTTTGGCTTTCTGAAGATGATCACCTTGGCTTGAGCACACCTCCAGATGTGACTTCTGGTTGAGCTTACCGCTGGGTCCGTAGCGAACCGAAAAAGTTTGATGCCGTGGGGCGTTTAGCCATGCACCTTCCAGCGTGGTACGTTCAGAAGACAATGAGGTTTTCCGTTGCGCGCCTTCTCGGAAGGTCTTGGAGCCCTCCCCCCTCTCATTGAGTCGTGGTTGAGTCTACGTAGTGTTGTGTTGTGCAGAACTGAAAGCAAGAGAACTCTCACAGTTCCTCCCTCACAGAGCGCCCCGCGGTGCAGTCTCTCAGCGGGCGGGAAGGCGGAAGGGCGCGGGGTTGGCTCTCAGAGATTTTTTTTTCTCTCTCTCTCTCTGACTCTTTCTCAATATTATCTCTTGGAGCTTCACACTGAGGTCCCAGCCTGTGCCTTCCTCGATGGCCTGCTGCTTACAGCTAAGCAGCTAAGCAGAGAGTTCTTGTCTTACGGGCATTTTTTGTCATGCGACTGCACTGAGTGTGACTGCACGAGGCGCCTCATTGAACGTGGCTTCGTGAAACATTGCTCACAGATGCCATAGCTCCTTCTTGCGTGTTTCGTGGCTTCTGAAGAGTGGCGTCGCTTGCGCTGGGGCCAGTAGACGACATGCCGTTCAAAGATGGCCGGACGTTCTGGCACCAGTTGCCTTCTTTGGCGTTTCCATTCCATCCCAACGCAAGGACATGCGGCAGTTGTGTGAATTTGTGGAGTTGTGTATGATTGCGTATGCTATGTTCGGATACTGTGCTGCTGATTTGCTTCATCCATCTGTTGCCCGCTCTGTCGGCTTGTGTCTTTTGTGGTGTGGCAGTCGGTTAAAATTCGCTCTGTGCAGAAAAGCCCGCTGGAGAGTCGCTGGAGATTGGGTCGGCATGTCCACAAGCATGGCTGTACAACTATTTACAAGCGCTTCAATTGCCTCGGCCCCGCAATTTGTTCAAAAGCTTCAGGGAAACTTTGCGAGGTCGGCGAAGAGGACAGCACAGAGTGCCCACAATTAACACTGGAGAATCACTCCTAAGAGAGCCCTCAAACGAATCAAAGCTCATTCTGCATTGTTTTTGCAAACTTAGAAGCACCTGTCTATGTGGCTCTGGCGCCGGTCCGAGTCAGGCGAGGGTTCTCAGAGGTGTTCGCCGTGTTCGCCTCTCTCAGAGGCTCAAGAGGCTCTCTCCGTTCGCCTCCGCTTCTCTCGTTTCCCTCTTGCTTCTGCACTTCGCTGTCTTCTCCTGGGTTCTCGCTCTCCTCAGCTGCTTTTTCAGCTGCTTTCTCAGCTGCTTTTTCAGCTGCTTTTCCAGCTGCTCTTTCAGCTGCTCTCTTCCCTTCTCTCTCTCTCTCTCTCTCTCTCAACACAGGCGAGAGACATGGCAGCGCGAGCGAGGAGGAGCCCACCGATGAGGAGGAGATTGCAGAGTGCAGGGCGGGGGGTGGGGGGGATATCCGCTGCTCTTAAGAGACGTCTCCCCATCTCTGGAACAACCCGAGCTCGCCGCACTCGCAAGACTCGCAAGACTCGCAAGACTCGCAAGGCTCTTCAAAAAACAGAAGCTTTGAAGGTTTGGTGGGCACGCCCCAAAACCCCAGAACGAAACACCCAATGGCATCTCCAAAGCCCTTCTCGGCTGGCCGACTAGGACGGCTAGGACGGCTAGGACAGCTAGGACGGGTAAGACGACACTTAGGTGTGAATGCAAAAGCCTGGCACTGAGCGCCTCGCAACACCAAACACATCAAGTTCACCTTGCAATGCGTGACACAAAACCAGGTCACAAGCGACACGGGGTTCTGGCTGTGATGTCATGCGTACATCAATCGCAGAGCAGATGGAAATGACTCTGCACGTGTGCATACCGTGCGCACCGTGCGCAGCGTTCTCGCAGCTTTGTTCAGGCCGAGGCTGCCGCCGTCGGCGTGACCAGGTTTGGAGCCGACCACTCCTCGCGTCCAGGAGTTTTGCAACTTTGGACAGAGAGAGCAGGGAGAGAAAGGGCGTGTGCGCGTGGGTGGGTGGGTGTGTGTGTGTGTGTGTGTGTGAGGGTGTGTGCTCGCAGCTTTTGTGCCGTAGGTGAACACGAGCCCAGAACTGAGCCGCTCGATCGAGTACTTAGAGTGGGTACTTTCACAGCTCCAAGTACATCAAGTTTGTCCTTTTGTTGATGCTTGCAGAGATCTTCAGTAGGGTTCAAACAGCCGAGGTCGGACGGTGCCTTGAGGGTACCAGCCCAGGCCTGCAATCACAAGTGTTTGCCGAGCTCTTGGGCTGCGGTGCTGTCCAAATACATGAGAACATGGCAACAGTGCAACAACTAGTGCTTGACACGGAATTGGCTTGTGATGTTGGTGCTTGCTGACCAGAATGTGTAGCAGAATGTATCCCAACTCAAAAGAGCCCTCTGGTCTGCTTCCTCCTTCTATTGCGATGTTTCAGCGGGCATCTTTTTTTACTTGAAGGCTCAAAGTCGTTTGCAGCAGGTAGCAGCTTGCGTCAGCTTGCGTTCTTCAACTGCGAGGGCTTGGGATGGCATGGGACGGTTTGTATCCACAAGAGACCCCCCCAGACCCCCCCTCCCCCACCATTAGCTCAGCCTGGCCTGTATGGGAGTGCAGGGGATCGAGCACGTTGTTGAGGAAAATGGTTGCATGCGCACCCGTCCATTGTGGTCTCGGTTGGGGCATGTACGGTTCGGTTTGTCAATGGTTGTCACTCCCAACAGTGTGGTATCGGCAACCTCGTCCTTTCGCGTGTTCCGGTGATCGCTGTGGAGAGTTTGGTCTAGCAAGTCGGCACGAGGCTCCCCAAATAATGGGATGCTACATAGGAGAACATCATATGGGCTTGGTGTGGCCACCGGCTGCACGAGCACATGACTTGCAATCAGAATTCATTGAGCTGTGAGGGCATCTGGTTGAAGGCCGTGCGGCAGTTTAAATCTTCGACATGGGCTCTCCAATGTCCAGTGCACCAGCTGCCTCGGACAACATGTGCAACCCTGATTGCAGCATGTGCAGGAGTGGCAGGCCATGGAAGTGCACATGCAGGCACGCTAAGCGGCCGCGCCGCGCTCAGTGGGCTGTGACTGTGTCGTTGCAGGCACAGGAGAAGAAGCTGTGTTCAGCCTCGAGGGCACTGAAAAGAGCCCGATCTCAGGCCATCTGCCTCCCTGTTTACATCCTCGTTCCATGTTTTTGCTTGTGCTCTGGATTTTCATACGTTTCACTAGTTCACCCGCAGAGCTCACCCGCAGAGCTCACCCGCAGAGCTCACTCGCACAGGTCCAGCAGCTGACGGCACAGGTTGAGCCTCAAGGCCACGATCCACGCACAAGATCCACAATACAACTCTCCGTATTTGAGAAGATTCCTCTTTGAGTGTCTTCAGGATATATTGGCGTGCCCGACTGGAGACGCAGTCGTCAGTCTGATCAGTGCCAAGCCAGTGCTCTGCAAGTGTTTTTTCAATAGTTGGGGAGGCGATTGTGTGCTGGGACCCGAAGTTTCAACATGTAATGCGCTTTCATTTTTCGTTTTCAATTTCAGCTCCTCTTTTTCTGAAGTTCAAAACACTGTTTCACTCTCCATTCCTTTGCATTCATTTTTTTTTTTTTGTTTTTTGCATTTCGTGCTTCTGATCCTGAGTTGAACTGACAGCTTTACTCCTCATGTGCAGGCAGACTTCGTCTCTTCGTCTCGTGGTGTGTGTATGGGACAACCGGTGTTCAGTGGGTCTTATGCAAACAGTTTCGCAGGCGCACGCGGCATCGGCCATCCGTGTGCAATAGATTTATAAAGCAACGGCTTGCATGCCGTGTCTTAAGGCATGAGGGTTCGTTGGCGTCGGTGCCCGTTAGCACCGTTAGCACGGTTAGCACGGTTAGCACTGACGAACCTGCGCGAATGTTTTGTTGAACGGATATCATTTTGTGTTTGTGTGTGTTTTGTTTAGGCATTGGCAGTCCGTGCTTGTATGCAGTGTGCCTTCGAGAGAAAGGTCCATGCCCGGTTTGTTCATCAGAAGCCTTGGAAGAGAGCAGACGGTATCTTTTTCTGTAACTTCTAGCTGAGAGCCCCTCCTCGACCTACATTCTGTCAAAGGGCCGGGAATAGATTCGAATTTGCAAAATGTGATGCTCCAAAACTTTGATGGGCGCAAACCTGGTTCCAGTGTTCCATCTGGGTGATGATTCCAGCCATTGAGTGGCTCGGCAACCCGACTTCGCGGCTTTTCTGGCTCATTCCCTGGTACTCGATATCGATATCCCCCAATACCTTTGCTCTTTAGGAACAATTCTCAAAACGTTTGCAACTGGAGATGCTGAGCAAACAAAGAATGCTCTTCGACGGACAGACAGGACACAAGAAGGCACCGCTCACCCGCTCTCTGAGAGGCTTTCGCGAGTTTGCAAGCGGGAGCCTCCTCCAACAGTTGATTTTTGTTGAACGTTTCGGGAAAAAAAATGGGGCGGGGGGGGGGGGGATATTGAGTCTGCAGCTAAGGAGGGTCCAATTGGTCAATAGATGCACATCACACCACACACACACACACACACACACACACACACACACAACACACCACACACACACACACCACACACAAACCACACACACACACACCAACACACACACACACCACACACACACCCACACACACACAACACAACACCAACACACACACACACACACACACACACACACACACACACAACACACACACCACACACAACCACACACACACCACACACCACACACACACCCACACACACACACA